CTCCACCCTCACCCTGCCTTTTTTTTTTTTTTTTTTGCCAAAAATGGCACTAAAAAATAGAACTGAATTTTCCAACTGTGCTTTCAAGTTGGGTTTTTCCACAAGGCATGAGGGAAAAGGTGTTTCGAGGAAAATAAGTAAATTGCATCTGTTTTAATAACAGATCCTGTTTCCTTTCTCTGTAGAAGTGGGCATACCTTTGAGGATAAATATTAGAAATTATCTTCATTTATAATACAGTTGACCCTTGAACAGCATGGGTTTGAACTGGTGGGTCCAACTCATACACTTTTTATTTTTTTTCATAAATACACTGCAGTACTATAAATATATTTTCTCTTCCTTAGGATTTTCTTAATTACATTTCTTTTCTCTAACTTACTTTCTTTTAAGAATGTAATATGTAATACATATAACATACAAAATATGTGTTATTCACCTGTTTATGTTATCAGTAAGGCTTCCGGTTCAACTGTAGGGTATTGGTAATTAAGTTTTGGGGGGAGTCAAAAGTTATATTTGGCTTTTCCACCGCACAGTGGGTCAATGCTCCTAATCTTGGCATTGCTCAAGGGTCAGCTGTATAAGCAAGAGAGTAATTTTGTTCATCATAACTCTCATAGAGGCTCACAAAGGCTGCTGACCCATTGGGTTATTGAACTCAGTAACTCCTGGGTCAGATAGGAGAATGAGTTGAAATAGTAATGTAGGTTAAATAATTGCATGTAAGGATCATCTGTGGAAATGTGGATCATCTGTAAAACTTTGTTCTAGCCCAGCAGGGTGACACTAGAGTTAAGTTCATGTAAAGAAGAAACAGTCAGTGGGATTTGAAAGAGGGAAGGCACGGCAGTGAGTTGTTGCTTTTCAGGTTAAATGAGTTTCAACTGGAGTGGATTTGAGCTGCTATATTGGAAGACAGCTGTGTGCCTTTTGAAGCGTCTTGGCCATCAGAGACCCTCAGCAAGTTTATTAATGGGGGGAGGGGAGATACAGCCGGAAGAACAAAAGGATTTCTTTTAATAATAAAGTTGTTCATTTAAAATTCAACATTTTTAGAATTCTAGATATTTCGAATTGAAACGTAAAATTCCAAATATTTAAGATTAAAATACCCAAACTAATAGTTGAGTTTTAAAAAGTAATCTTATTATCTTCGTGAAGGAGGGACCTCTAACCTCTGCCGGGTGAGCACACACACTTTGGGAGCCCTTGGGACTGTGGCAGAAAAGCAAGCGATCCGTGTGCGCTGTTTTAGCTTGAGCATGGGTGAAGAGGCAGCGCACCGGGAACCCTTCCGGGAGATAAGAGAGGCCTGTGCAAGGTCTTTGCCATCCGGCATGGGAAGGGCATAAATCAGTAAAGCTAAGACCTGCGCAGGAAGTCACCATCTCGGGCGGATACACAATCACTCCATAGAGCTCTCGAAAAGGGGAAGGGCATTAGGCAATCTGACTGCTGCCCCGTGGACTGTGATAAATGACCTCACGTATCTGAGTTCTTATGGGAAGGCACACAAGTGCAGAGAGCTCTACGGACATCTCGTCCATGGAGCTCACATTTGAAAGGACTCTTCTGTCATGAAGAGCAAAATAGAGACCGTAGTCTCCTTCACTGTGTGAGGTTAAAAGATGAAGAAATCCAGTCTAAGGTCCGATGTCTGGAGAATGCTGAAAATGGGTACGCGCTCTGTGCGAGGCAAGGTACTTGAAGCTTTATAGGTGTTGTTTCCTTTGTCCCTATGAACTAGGTGTTAGTACCCTTTGCTCCATTCTAGAAATGAGAAGTTGAAACTCAAGGAAGTCAAAAGAAAAAGGGAGAGAGAAAACGAGAAAGGAAAGAAAAAGAAAAACTCATAGAATGTCACACAACTAGGAGAGCCAGGATTTGAACTTAATCACTTGACTCCAAATCCAGCCTTCTAACCCCCCTCTATTTTACTACACAGAGTTGTGTGTTTTATCCCATTATTTCATTTTAGACAGGAAAACAGGACAAAGAAGGGCCATTGTAAGAAAATAAGCAAGGATGTAACTCAACCCATAAGCAAGATGCCTATGGAAGTAGATTTTAAGTAAGGAGATCGGAATGAAGCAAAAGCAAGCCACAGTAAATGCAGTGAAGCAAAGAGCAACTTCTGAATCTCCAAGAGATAATCTTGAGCATTTCCGGTGCTGAATGGTCTGAAGATGCTCACGGCAGACTGGTCTCTACACGAGAGCCAGAGCACCGTCAGATTTGTGACCAGCTGATTTGACTTTGAACACAGTCTGACTACAAAAATTCGAAATATTTATTCTAGAATCAGATAACCTGGGGCCGGTATATGCAAAATGGAGGTGGTTCAGATTTGAACACCTTGAAGAACGAAACGGGACTTGACAAGATTTCAGATTGTCGGATAACTCTTTTAACGACGTTAGCTCTGCCATAGTCATGCTGTACATGAACCAGCTGAATACTTCAGAGGAAGCCTGCAGAACTCACAGATCCTCCCATGTGGTGAAGAAAGAAGGTAGAGAGAGCCTGAATGGAAACAGGCTGGTTCAGCCCAGGGACCTTTTCCTTCCGTCTAGTTCCTCATCCCTGGAAGAGAGCATTACAGACCCCATCCCGGGCATGTGTTCACGTGGCTCGGCAGCTGCATTCCGATCTGCGTGCACAGCACACAAGGGACCAGACTACTTCAGAGCCATCCCCAGGCGCATTGTTACAGGGAAGGCAGAAAGTATCTCTGACCTGTATCGGGCGAAAATAGGATGAGGGACATGGGAGAGACCTCAAGGCTCAGTGTGTTCTCTGGCTCTTCACACAACGTCTTAGCTGCTCGTTAATGCCAACAGGGCTTTGTCATAGCAACACCAGTATCCGAAGACGTCTGTCTTGCATTCGCCCCTCTCCTACCCCACCCCAACACGGAGCCACTGCAGGCTTCTCGTGGAGCCAAGAACATTCCCTCCTGCTAGTTGATCTCAAATTTTTTCTTCTATTTTCACCTCATCTGTCCCATAGCTATGTTGATGAGAGAGGAATGGTCATGTGTACCTTACAATGTGGAGGAGATTCTAGTGCAGGGGCTAAGAGCTTGGGCTGCATAGTAAACAGATGACCAACGTTAGCTGCCACTCATATTCTTGTGTTGTTACTTACCAGGTTGCATTTTGATACTGGGTTGGCACGTATTCGCTCCTGGCCACTTGAGGCCGAAGGACTACCTGTAGTTAATCGTTACCCCACGGAGAGGCATACTGGCTCCATTTTATTAGCGGGTGGCATCTCTTTTTAAAGGAGGACCACACTTTGGTTGTGTCACTTCTGTATTTTGATTGGGACACAAATCAAGGAATTGGACTTTTTGAGTGGCATCGTTATGTGAATCCTTCCTTTCCCAGTCGACTCAGAATTTAGAATTTTCTCATACTGAGATACGCATGTGATTGGAAATTTAAGTCTAGGAAGAAAGTACTTATATGTGGCAGGTGTTGGGGAGGGGGACCAGAAGCGACGAGCCTGCCACCCCTCCACTGTGCACAAGTGTGACTTCTCCAGCCCCCTCCCCGCTGGTATCTCAAAGACACAAGAACCATACATTGAATTCCAGTGAATTCCCTGTTAGAGTGAGTCTAATTGCTGTCTGACTTGAATTGGTCAGGTGGGTTCACTCTCAGTATTTTCACATGTGAATACATAATGATGCAACATCCTGATTTTTAGGAGGTTCTTTGGCTCCGTTATAGTCACAATCAAGACGCCAAATATCAGTAGAAAAAGTACTGAAGAGGAAAGATCCAATTCCTAACCTAGAACTACACATTCTCCTCTCCAAGAAATATCTGTACAGAGGGGAGCAAGTCTTTCAAGATTAGGCCTTTGGTTTTCTTGACAGAGCTTTCCAGAATGTGCCAGGCAGAGTGGGAGGCAGTTAACCCTCCCACTGCTCCCACCACCACTCACTCTCAGGGTCCTCCAAGCATATATTATAAAGTCCAGTTTCTTTTATCTTTCCCAGCGGCTGACTGCTAACCTTACTGCAGTGACTCTGTGTGGTTAGGCTCACGTCTCGTAATTAACACGAACCAGGTATCCACAAACTGAGTGTTTACAAATAATAAATCCTAGCTCATTCCCTGAACAAAGATTTATGCCTTCTACGTACCTGTGGAAAACAGCGGGCGTACACAGTGGCGAAAAAATAAATCCTGTGAGGGCAGAGATGGTAACTGAAGTTAATGAGGGAGATAGGATGCAAAAAAAAGCAAAAAAAAACAAAAAACCCAGTACACATGGAATTATAAATTTTATTCATGAAGGAAAACTAAGAATGACTCGGACAGAAAATAAGGGTAGCCATTCTGGATTGAAAGGTCAGGGAGGGCTTCTTTGAGGAGGTGATATTTAAAGCCAAAACTGGAGGAAGAAAAAAAAATCAAGTAAAATCGAGGACTGGAGCATTTCAGGCAGAGGGAACAGCGAGGATAAGAACCCTGAAGCAGGGACGTGCGCCATGTTCCATGAATGATGGTGGGAAGTGAGAGGGTGGGAGAGGAGAGCCGGATCAAAACCCTGAGGCGCTGGGAGTTGTGATATTAAGTGGTCGCTGAAGCCAAAAGCAGAGTAGTGACCAGATTCTGTTCTTAAAAAACCTCTGTGGAGGCACCTGGGTGGCTCAGTTGGGTAGGGATCTGACTCTTGATTTTGGTTCAGGTCATGATCTCAGGGTCCTGGGATCGAGCCCTGCATCGGGCTCTGCACTCAGTGCAGACTCTGCTTGTCCCTCTCCCTCTGTTCCTCCCCCACTCATGCTCTCTCACTCTCTCTCAAATAAATAAGTAAAATCTTTAAAAAAAAAAAAATCTCTCTGGTCACTGGGCATCACGTGGATTTGAAGAGGGCAAGAATGGAAGTAGGAAACCCTCAGGCAAGGTCATTGCAATAGTCCAGATGAGCGGAGCTGGAGACTGGCGCTGGGATTGTGGCCACAGAGGTGGAGGGAAGTGTGCATGAAGGCAGAGCAAGAAGGTCTTGGAGGGGACGAGGAGGAGAAGGTGGAAAGTCCCCAAATGCATTTTCAAGGCTGATTGCACAGCTGATTCTCCTTTACCTTTTCTGTCTAGGTTCTATTTTCCCTTACTCAGAAAAGTCACAGATCTTTTTTTAACCAGCTTAGTTTTTAGTAAATGCTAAGGACTCGGGCCAGTCTTGATCCTGAAGCCGCGGTCTGAAATCTTACAAGGCACTGTTTACTTTACAGCCTACCAGGACTTCCTCTGAAAGCATTTATTCTAGACCAGGCTCCAGCATCCCTGGTTCCCCAGGTCATACTATCTGTGTAAGTATTTATTTCCGGGAAAGACCCTTCCGGGACAGGTAAAGTAACAGACTGTCATAGTGGGGTGGGTAATCCTAAATAGACTAATTTGAAATTATTTCTATTGCTTTATGAGATCCAGTTGTCATTGTTGAAGATCAGCCCTCTCAATCATGTTTTCCTCTGGGTAATTACATTTATACGCAAATGTGACCATCGATGTCAATGACCTATAAAATGCAGGAATACCATGAAGGACTTTAAAAATTGCTGTGGCTAACTTGGATACAGATACATGGGGATTAATTATACATTTCATAATGCTGATACTGAGTATTCTTAAATTCTACCGCAAAGATATTTAAATATTTAATTTACCAAATATGCAGTTCTTGTTTTTGGCCATCTGGGAGGATTCTTTTTGACCATCTGTTTGAGCTTCTCCATCTCTGTAATAAATGTAGGAAAATTATCCTGAAGGTTTACAGGCTTTTCTACTTGGTTTATTCTACACAGACTTTTTCCTAAGTTTTTGATGACTTTTTTTTAAAAAACAACTTGATTAATACATGGTATAAATAGACAACTTCCTAAAGCAAAATGCTTTTGGTTTTAAAACTGAGCAAAATGTTTTGGTTTTTGTTTCTTTTTAAGGTCCTCACCTTTCAAGCAGAACATGAAATGTACTAAAAATAGTTCCCCAAAGAGATGAGACTAATGAGAGTAATTTTGCTTTCTGTTTAACCTTGCCAGGCAAAAGTGGACAACGAAATCCTGGATTATAAGGATTTAGCAGCCATTCCCAAGGTCAAGGCAATTTATGATATTGAACGTCCAGATCTTATTACCTATGAGCCTTTCTACACTTCAGGCTATGATGACAAACAGGAGAGGCAGAGCCTGGGAGAGGTAATACGTTCTAGAAGCTGTGCATTATACAACAACTTCTCTTTCATCACATGTATAAGCATGACTGATTGGAATCAAAATAAGTCAGAGGGTCCTTTTGATTCCCTTCTATTTGCAGGCTTCCATGCCAGGTGCTTTGAGGTATCAGAAACCTATCACACCATCCCTGGCCTCGGGAGGTTACAGAGGGGTGGGAGAAAAGAGCAACCAGAGAAAACAACGGGGAAGCATGAATGAGTGCTGGTACCAGGTGGTGGGATAGCAGAGTGGATATACTGGGAAGGAAGTCAAAGTTGTCAGGGGAGATTCTGTGAGCTGGGCAGAGGGAGTGAGGGACCGGCTGAAGTATAGTCATGGGGATCATGAGGAAGAGAACATATACCCTCAATTAGGACAGCTGCTGTGTGCAGCATCTTACGATAGAATGTGCAAGGACAGAATCAGCAGAGAGATCGAGACCACGGTGTGGCACAGTGATGTGAGCTAGGGTTCTGGAATCGAATTACCTGGGCTCGACCTGGGGACTCCACGTGCTGCTTGTATGACTTTGGCCATGTGGCAACCATTCTGACCCTGTTTTCTTCATCTGTATCACAGGATGACAGAATCTACCTCACAGGATGTTAGTAAGAATTAAATAAACCATCTGTTAAAGGTTAATATCTATAGAATATCTAGATCATTTATTATCTATTAAAGCAAAGCTGTATAAGCTAATCTGTTAAAGCAGTTAGAGAGTCAGACTCGTGGTAAATGTTCGGCAAATGACGGCTGCTTTTGTGGTCACTCCCTGTGCTCTTGGGGCTCTTGGGGCTTATTAATGCTCTCCCAACATTAATGGTCCGGAGGCTGGAGCATAGCCTCTCAGCCCCTTGGGGTCCTCCCCATCCCTTTCCAGGGTTGGGGGTTCCCTCCCTGGGTGGCGTGGGCTCTGGTCTCTTTCCTCTGGCCTGTTCAACTCACTCTAAATTTTTCCCCTTTTATTTTTAAAATTAGAGTCCTCTACAGACTGATTTGAGTCCAGTCAGAGAGATGTTACCCGAGTACTGGACTGTAACTAGCTGTTCAGTCCAAGGTTAAAACAGACTGTACGCTACCTAACACATCCACACAGGGCTTTGAGATCTTAGATGAAGAAAAGCCATGAAAACATGGTGATTCTGTTCAATTTGTTCTCAATAATACATGTACATTTGATATGTTTTATAATTATACTTATATGTATTCATAATTGTAATATATGTTGTTCTTTTTATTTACTCATTTTTCAATTTGGGTTTTATGCCAGAGCATAGCTCTGCATTGAAATAGCCCATTGGACAGGAAGTGATATCCATTTTCATGTAGTGCCCCCTAGTGGTCATATGCATGTAACTGCATCTGCAGGCGCTCAAAGGCGGGTTGATTGGCCTGGGTTGTGGAGTTGCCACGGGGCCCTGCCTGGAGAGTTGCATAGGGAATAAAGGAAAAAGGACAGTTCCTGAACAGGGTGCACAGCGCCTGGGCCTGGAACAAGTGCACGAGAATTTGCTAATATTTAAGTCCTACAAGCAAGGGGGAGGTGAGTTGTTTTATGGTGTCTTGGGTTTGGGGGTAGGTGTCTGTTTCCCAGGGGCTCCGTTTTTGAGCAGTAAAGCATCAAGCGCTCAAGAGTTTAGGCTTTGAACATTTCAGGGTTTGGAGTCAGACTCATATTTACAACTTTGGGAAAAGTACGTATTTCAGTCTCCTTATCTGTAAACTCAAGAGAGTAATATCCACCTCAGAGGTTTTCTGTGAGGATTAAGTGAAATATTTAGATTAGAACAGTCCCTGGCACAGAAATGCTCGGCATCATTACCGTCATAACCCGGAATGATGACCTGTGGGTTTCTTGGATCACGGAATCTGATGGAAGGATGCCCCCAGATCAGAAGTCAGACATGTTCCCCATCTCTTCCCCAACACATGAATCTTGCAACTTAGAAAACTTGACACACCGTTTGATTATTTATTCCTTTACTTATTAACTTCTTTTTCCAAAGAATCCCTAGATTGCCAATTTAGAAACGCTGGAGGAATAAACTTGACGTTCTGTGTCCCCATTTGTGCCTTCAGAAAGCACGAGTAGGGTGGATCCGGAGGCTGTCAGCAGGGTCAGGCCTGGCTCCTGCCTTCAAGGAGCCTGTGTTCACCCAGCTAAGATTCCCCCCCACCCCCCACCCCAGAGATAGTCCGCAGCTGCCCTGAGACCGGGGGGCTTGAGGAATCTGCAGTGCGAGAGAGCCCGGCGGCTTCTTGTGACCTTGGGGTGAGGGGCAAACTGGGATGCTGAGAAATCCACCGTGTCCTTCAGGATGCTTTGTTCGCATTTCATTTCTATTTGAGCACTTTTTGCATTTTAATTGTAAACATTTCATTCATTCATTTAGGAAATATTTGTTGGGCACCTCATACGTGTCAGGAGCTGCTCTAGTCCCTGGGAATACTTAGCTGTAAAGAAGCAGAGTTCTTGCCCTCATGGAGCTTGCAGTGGAAAGGGGGAGACAGACCATAAGCAGATACGTAATGCACTTTTACAGGGCATAGTGCTCGTGGAAAAATGAAGCAGAGTAAGGTGAAAGCCTGTGGGGCTGGGTTGCTGCTTAAAATAGGAGGGTCACAGAAGGCACTGTGTGCACCACGTGTGAGTGGAGACCTCACCGAAGAAGAGGAGTAAGCCCGGCAGGTGTCTGAGTGAAAGGCACTGCTGCCAGAGGGCACAGCAAATGCAAAGGCCCTGTGGTGAAAGAGGGTTTGATCTGTTCATTGACCCCAAGGAAGCCTTTGTGCCCTGAAGGATGGAAGCCAGAAGGTGAATGTAGAGATGTTGGCAAGCCCACCAGGGCAGGATGCCACAGACCTGGTCATCACCGGCCTGTGTCAGGCAGCAAATGATTTTATGTGACTGCCCTGATGATAATTGAGTCAACAACCATGTTTATAAAATTCTGTGTTTCAGTAGACACCGTGACTCATAGTAGTAAACTGAGCATAGTTTGAGCATAGAGGGAAAAATAGTTCCAGTTTGTCTAAGTTAAACATCTAAAGTATGACAGCGTATTTCTCAAAACCCACGGTTCCTAGGCCAGGACATGCACCAGGCTCCCAGGAGCTTGGTTGTCATGTTTCTGCCTGAGCCCCACTTTCAACTTACCGAATCAGAAGACGGGGATGGGCAACGGGAGCAGGCATGTGGATGCAGCATACTGTTTCCAGGGGCTTCTGATAAACTAATTAAACTGATAACAAATCAATATCCACTGTGACTTGTAATTCTCTTTTATTCTTCTAGTCTCCAAGGACTTTGTCTCCTACTCCATCAGCAGAAGTAAGTGCCATTGTTGAACATTATAATGGGTGGGATTTGGGAGTGACTTGGACTTTTCCCAGACTGGAGTTTTTAAAGAAGGACATTTAACAAAACAACAACAACAACAAAAAAACTGCACGCAAAATTATGATGAATGTAGGACTCCTTACATGTGAGATGACTCTAAGACACAGTAGTCAATGTTTTTTTCCAATGAGACTGGGGGTAAAAACAGCCATATAGTAATCTGAGCCTGTGCCTCTAAGTGCCTGGTAAGGGTTTGCAGGGAGTGAGGCCACCTGTCCTGCTGGGGGGGGGGCTCTCTCCCCTCATTCCTATTGAATTGATCTGAATCCCAACGTACTGGATTATCTGAAATGGCCTACAGTGGTCAGAGAGTATTCTGTAAGCAGAGCCATCTTCAGGGGAGGACACTCCTTTTAGTCTCGAATCAGTAGTCTTGTCCCCCTTCTCAGGGTAAAGATATCTCACAATGGCTTTTATCCAGTCCACCAGGCCCGCTCTTCCCTTCAGAATAACTCCTATGTGGATCACTTAGAGCCATCAGTGATCATTCCGTAGTGAACCACGGGTCCCCTGTCAATCCATACATACTCTTCCACTCTGCAGCATTCAAAACCAAAGACATAGCCCCCAGATTAGTTATTCTCACAACCCATTTTAGTAAGGGTTCTTCCGGAAGCTGATACTGATCTAGAAAATCAAAAGCTCCTTCACACTCTCCCTCCTGGTGTCTGTAGTTCCTCGGTTTTGCCCCACCCCTACACCCGACTGCCTACTTGGTGACCAGAGGCCTTAGAAGTACTTTCCATTGTCTGTCCTTATTTTTTCCCTTGGCAGAGGGGGAGTGGGGGGGTGTGGGGGGGGTGTGGCTTAGAGGCTAGTGACCTAAGCTCTGGCTGACCCAAATCTGAGTGTGGTCCAGCACCAAGGTCTGACCCAGCACTCTCTTTCATTTAAGCTACTTCAGATAACTATAACCAAGGGATTGTATGTTTAGCATGCTTCTTACTTTTTTGTATTTCCTTATGTATCCAGTGAACGAACTCCTCAGGTGTTAAGTCTATCCCCATCTAAAAAAATAATAATAAAAATAATAAATAAGGGGCGTCTGGGTGGCTCAGTCAGTTAAGCATCGGACTCCTGATTTTGGGTCAGGTCATGATCTCACAGTTGTGAGATCAAGCCCCGCATCGGGCTCTGTGTTCAGCGTACAGTCTGCTTTAGATTCTCTCTCCCTCTCCCTCTCTCTCTCTAATAAACAAATAAAAATAAAATCTTAAAAGAGTTAAAATGAATAAAAAATAAAATCAGTAAGTCTTATCTTCAAGCAACTTTCTGGATATTCTATGTAAAACTGGATTGATCTTAGATAACCATTATGATTTAACATAGTAAAAACTGTAGTATTCTGATGGTTTATGACTGAGGGCTGTGAAAAATTAATTTCTGTTAGTATTCTAATCACAACAGAAGTTATGAAGCATTAACTTCTAATTGGCCAGTTGCAAAGTTGAAGCACGTTGTTTGGGGACTTTTTGTTTCATTGTTTTTAATTTATTGTTCTAGGCGACTGGGATCAAACCAAGGTTTCCTTGCCATTTGCTCTCAACAAATGGCACACAGCCATGGTTACTGAGGTTTTAACTTAGGCATTTTCCATACAGTCTTTCAAACTTGTATTTCTGTTGTAGCAGCAGAAACTTCGTAAGACAACTAATTCCTAAAATGTAGAACATTCCTTTCTATCCTTTTCATTGTTTGAGCAGTTTTATATTGTGTTGGTGTGAGTATGATTTTTTTTTTTGTACTTTGTACCTAACCTGCTCTTTTCTGGATTTGGACATAGTGGGCATACCAGTGCTGGTATTATATTCCACTGAATGGATACACCTAATTTTCTTCATTATTCCCCAATTTGTTGAGGAAGTTTTATCCTTATAAATGGGGGTATTATAAATACCTTTGAGCGAATTTTCCCATTTGGAGATCACTCTTTATTTTTTCCTTGGGATATGTTTCTCAAAGGAGGAAGTAGAACTTCCTGGGTTTGAGCCCACCACCAGCTTGTTCTGCAGGAAAATCAACTTAAGATGTCACCAGGTCAGTGTGATGGACAGTGTAGGTTGGCAGCCAGAACAAAGGGTACGATTAGAGCCAGGAGGCTGGCTCTGAAGCAGGCTCTGCCTGTATGAGCTACACACCTACGCACGGTCTCTTACCTGCTCTGAAACATCCTGCATTTGTGGAGACGGGAGGTCTGTACCCTGTGTTCTACCTTTGTTATTATGCAAATCGGGTGAAACGATGAATATACTTTGTAAAACTGAAAAGCACCATATCAATGTGGCCATTGGGGTATTCTCTTTTTCCCAGAGCTCTATCAACGTGGGAGTTTACCATTTCACATCTTAAAATTTGGGTAAATGCAAGAACTACGGGTTTCGAACAAAATGCATTAACCACAGAATGCTCCTTTGCATATGTATTGAAGGATATGGCCCTAAAATGTATACATGAACAGGTCAGCATGACAGTTCCCAGGCAACCTTTGTAGAACTGGCTGTCACTTGGACCCGATGATAGCCTGAGTGTGTGTCTTATGCTCCCGCGTTCTCGCACTTCCTTTCCAGGGCTACCAGGACTCTCGGGACCGGGTGATCCATCGATCCACCAGCCAGGGCTCCATCAGCTCCCCCGTCTATAGCCGTCACAGCTACACTCCGACCACATCTCGCTCTCCCCAGCATTTTCACAGACCTGGTAAGGGTGCCTGTTCCTGAGATTCACTCTGTATAATAGTCTGTATTGCAGTGTGATTTTTTTTTTTTCCCCACCACTGATAGTGTATTAAAAATCCAGCTGCCCAAAAAAAAAAAAAATCCAGCTGCCAAATAGATCTCCCCTTTTCCCAGGAAAAAAAAAAAAGAAAACTCATATCCAACTATAATTTGTGTTATTTTATGATTATATTCATTATGATTTATTAAATAATTACATCTTGACAGTGAACAACGGGAAGCCAGGGAGATTTTTTTTTTTCCTTTTTTTAGACTTGAAGAAAATCTCATCACTTTGAGACTTAAAATGAAGATCTCCAAAGAAAATACTTTGATGGGCCTTTTAGGCACATCAGCATCATCTAAAATCCACAGCATTAGTCATTCATTGGTGGGTTTGCCATGTTTCCCCGAACCAGGCACAGGGTGTCACTAAACATGCTTGGTTAAGCACCTTCTAGAAGGAAGTATTATATGCAACCTCGGGGTTGTGTTTGATAACTTTTCAGATCCATTCCAGCCCTTAGATTTTGAACCAGACTTGGAAAACAGAAAAACGTTAGGCAATATCAAACAGTAGTGGACTTCAGGTGACCTTCATCTGTGCACAGCGTAGTCCCTATCACTATTAGTGGGTGTCTCATGTGTGGAATAGAAGAATGGAGATCCCAGCATGGATCCAGGGCTCCCTGAGAAGTAGATTCCCAGAGGGAGACTCTGGCCTTCTAAACAACTCCGGTGGCAGCGAACGTCTAGGAAGACTTCCTTTTAAGCGTTGTGCTTCCGCACAGGTGGATGAGAACAAACTCATTCATGTGCTAACTTACTTGATAAAATAGAACCAGAGGAAATGAACAGAATATAAAAAGGCTGCAATCTGTTCCTTAAAGCCATAGATCTAATGCATATAGAAGATTGATTTTTTACTATATGAGTCTTCAATAATGTAGAATTTTCTCTAGGTCATAAATAGTATTTGTTGAGTTATGTAAAATGAGGGTTTTTCAAGAAATGGATTCTTTTTTTTTTTTTTTTCATGTGCAACTACGTTCATTTAATTCATGCTCTGGACCTGGGTCTGGACTTAAGCCCTTGTCTGTGTGGGAGACAAGAAATCCTGTACGCGGCCACCCCTCCCTATAGGCATGTGCTGAGGTCACAGAGGCCACGGCCATGACCTTGTCAGAATGACGTGGGGCTACAGGGAAATCGTTGTTCCATGGGCCCCTGAATAGTGAAGGGGTGGCCAGCCAGGGACATTATTTCCCTGAAAGATCATGTTGCTGTTGAGCACTGAAGGTTTTCGTCTGTTCCAGTCATGATTCCAAAGCCAGCAGCCTTTAGAACATTCCCCATTCTAAGTGCTCCTCCTCCTTTTCACAATATATTATGGGCGTGCATGATGCCAGTTATTAGGGCTTATAATTATTTTTTTCAAGATCTGCCCTTGTCAGGTGAAGCCGGTGGGGTTCTGACAGCAGGGCTGTGGTCAGTATAGAAAACCTCTGATTATCCACTCGGCGGGTTCTAGATGCCAGGTGATGGTACACGTTGCCCATGTCTGGGTTTAGTTTTAATGGTCCATTTTCCTTCCAAGATAACGAAGCTTCCGTTCCCCCCCATGCTGCCACCACGCAGTTCTCAGGATCCTAAGCAGCTCCTCACCACCCAGGGAACACAAACAGGTTTTCCTTCTACAAAGGCAAATAAAATTAAACCGCTAGTGGGAGAAGTTGGCAGCTTAAAAAAAAAAAGAATATGACCCTTACATAGAAGTACTTCTTTTCGAGATTCTTAAAATGTTATCTTTTTTTTTTTTTTTTTTAACATGGGTTTCAAGGGTTCTGTTTTGTCAGGTGCTTTTTAAAAACAGCTATTTCTGAGTCTAAATGATGTGCCCAGTACTGGCTCAGCAGTAGCCAGTGTTATCCTGACAGAGAATGTCCTGGTGGCCATTCCTTCTCATAAAGCCATTTATTCTCAGAGAGCGACTCTGTACCAACCCGTACCTGTTTGCAAATTCTCCCCACTTAGCCTCGCCCTCAGCAGGTGCGTTCTTAACCCTTTTGCCTTCTTCCTTTTTCAGACTCCTGATTAACGTTCTTTGTTTTCCGCCCCCTTGGAATGATGATGATGTCCCTGCTCCTGTGTTAATTTCTGTTCTTCTTTTCTGTTTCCACCTGGCCCCGCCCCTGACTCCTTGCCGCACAGAGCTGCTGTCTCCTGGTGTGCAAAGGTTGTCCCACCTACGCACCAGCAGCCTCAGCTCCGCCCACAGCGACTCCCGCCCCAACTCCCCCTTCCGACACCACTTCATTCCCCATATCAAAGGTAAGGAGGCAGGCTTCTTCAGGCAGCATCCCGCAGAGTGGAGATTTATTAGCACCCTGGGAAGGCTAATAACGTGGATCTCCAAGAGTTAGCTCCCAGCTTTCAACCTCTCCGCATGCCTGCGTGTGTCGTGACCACACCCAGCGTCTTAGAACTGACGTGGCATCTCTCCACAGGAGAAATACGTCATTTCTAAGGGCTCTAGATGAAAAAACAGGAAGTATGTTTAAGGCCATTAGATTTATTACCCACCGCTTAGGAAAAAAAACCATATATTATCATTTTGTTTTTCTGTGTATCAAAAGCAAAATATAATATATAGTTGGGGTATTTTCCTGGTTTTGGTATGTGATGTGGCTCAGCAAATCATACCAGCATTTAGCAACAAATATGCAAAACTTGTCTTAATGGTGATAAGCCACTTAACCACTTAATGATATTAAAACATTTGGATAGTACAAAAAGATCTGTGGCAATGTAACTTAAATTTCTCTCCTCGAGGCAACCCTTAGGGTAATCAATCCTCTTTTGACTGGTCCTGATTTCTGCATGATGCAGAAGAAGAGCTTTGCCTTCTGTTTTCTGTTTCTGCCCCACATCCCTGCCCATTCCCTTTATGGCATCCCCATTGTTTTTCCGCGTTGTCTATCACGCTTCTGTAGCAGTCCTCCACCAGGGCTCCTGTTCCCCTCCATGTGTTGGGGGATCCAAGAGCCCTGAAGGGGTGTCAAAGGGGCCATAATTTAAAATATGTATGAGCTCCCAGAAGCATGCTGACTTGTTCCGTAGTCTTGACTTGAACCAAATTAACCAATGACAGTAGATGAAGGAGGGGAGTGGCAGGCAAGCACAGATACTGTTATTGGACTTGAGACAGACCTAACAGATTCTGACCCTGTGATCCAAGTGCTCACATCCTGAGCACTGCTATTGAGTAGCCAAAATGTTGTTCTAGTTGACTGAGCTTTCATTTGCAGTCTACCCAAGTAATTTTCTTACTGCTCACTTGGATTTCCAGCAACTGAGTCCAAAAATATAGATGTACTGCACTTAATCAGCATGCCGTTATTTTTATGTGTGCTACTTTAGCATTTTCTATGCTGTAAAAATAATGTTGCTGACATGCTTATTGAAGACACACATTATTTGACATTGGCAAAGAGATCAGTCTTTTTCAGTTGGAGCAGCGCTTTCTAAAATTCTTGACAGATTACTTACAATTATTATTGCTATTTAGTATGGGGGGGCTTTAGAGAATGTTTATAAAACTGTGAGAAACTATTTAAGAACTTCAGAGATGTATTTTAAAGAGACTTTAATATAGAAGCCCATGGCCCAACTAAGATTTGTTTGCTTCTAATATGCAAGAGAAAATAGGTTTTTAATTCAAAAATATAAGCTGCCTTGTTTGGATATTACATGTTTCATCTTTCCGAAGAGATGCTTTTTGTAGGGAGAAAAATGTCACATGCCCTGTAAAGTTATACACAGTTTGTACAAATAACACATCATGAAATATCAAGACTCACAAAGCCTTCTGTCTGTGAGGAGCTTTATGGAGAGTTGGAATGCCCAAATGGACACTGGAGTCCTAGATTTAAAATATTATCTTTGTCCTGTGCTAGCTGTAGAACCTTGGATTATTGACTTAACCTTTTGAGTGTCACTTGCCTCCCTCATCTGTAGAACCTCTCCTAGGTCATTGGGGGTACATGAGGTCAAGTGCCCTGGTGTGTAGTAAGCACTCAGCTCACCTTGTCCGTGACATTTTCCCCCTGGGCATGGTGTCCTTAAAGCACTTTTCATTACATCATCTCATTCCATTCTCTGGTTAAGGGGCCCTGGCCAAGGGCTCACACCTAGGGAGCGCTGCACCAGGACCAGACCCCAGGCCTCCCATCCCCTTGTGTGTTTCAGTGTAAATATACATGAAGGATAATTTTGAAAGCAAACTTCTTTTCCATCTCTGTTTAGCTAGACAATTGCATTCTTGTTAAGGCTAAGACAGACAGCTGCTTTCAGTCATTTAAATTTTTCCTTTTCAATAGGAATACCAAATAGTAACAAAAATTACGTACATTTGTGTGCCCAAATGGTGCCTTATTAAAAATGTAGATATACAGTTGACCCTTGAACAATGTGGGGATTAGGGGCACCAATCCTCTGTGCGGTGGAAAAATCTTTGTATGAATTTTGACTCTCTAAAAACTTAACTACTAATAGCCTACTGTTAACCCTTACTGATAACATAAACAGCCAATTAACACATATTTTGTATGTTATATGTATTATAGATTGTATTTTACAACAAAGTAAGCTAGAGAAAAGAAAAATGTTATTAAGAAAATCAAGAGGAAAGTATATTTACAGTACTATACCGTTTACCAAAAAATACCCACGTGTAAGTGGACCCATGCCATTCAAACCCACGTCATTCATGGGTCAGAAGTACATCGTTTTCTGTCTTCAGACTGAATTTGAACTTTTTGACACAAATATTGTGGTTTTAAATTGTAGAGAGCATTAGGCCAAGAGGGATTAGCTTGACCTGAGCCCACACGTAAAAAACATCTAATGATCTCTCTCCCATATGCCTATAGTTCGTTCCTATAAAATAGTTTGCATACATCAGATACAAAATGTAATGTACATAACGGTATATGCTTAGTTTTAAAATCAGATGCGCTTGTTGCTAAACTACGAAATAAATCATGGAGAATTAAAGATATTGCTTTAAAAGCCTAATATAGTTGAATAAGTGAAAGCTGATTCTTCAAGGAATTACTTCTTAGTTATTCTGAAAAACATGTGTCTGTTTCCATGGAAGTCCTCTCCAGCACTTGGAAATTTCAACACGGGGGGCATTTATGGCCATTGGAGAAACACCATCTAAGGCATCTTCAAAGTGGAGCTAAGTCCACCGTGGCTCTTCATTTAAACATTCACTTTTTATCGTGGAGCTTGTCTTACAATCTTGGGGCCGTTATTCTTAAAACAAATGAAAGCCAGGCAGCCTGAGGATGCCAGGGCAAGTGGTATGTCCTTTTCAGGAATGTGTAGCTAGAAGCAGGGGGCCCCCTTGCCACTCCGGCAACCGGAAGGGCAGCCCTCCCGCCCTCCACTTCCTAAGTCCACATCCCGGTCTTTTTCTGACGCATGGGCCCAGGCCCCAGCGTTCATGGAGCTGAGGATGCTGCATGCGTATAAAGCTAAGATGCCATTCACGGGCTGTCTCTCTATTCTGCTGGCTTCTCCATCCACGTTCTGTAATGTCCATTTTGTTTCCCGCTGTGTCTTTATTTCTGTTCCCTGAACTCCCCTGCAGCCTCATTCAGTGCTGGTATGTCGTTGGGCCATGTGGACAAGTGCGTGCTTAGATTTGAAAAGCTTTTCACTCTGTTCTGGGCTTTGTCTGTGCTATGTTTGCTGAATTTCTCTTCCCTCCCCTTTGAAATACTGTTAGACATTATGTTCTGTGTCCACGACATATAAATCAGATTTGTGACCAGGAGGGCTACATATATTAAGTCTCTTTGAAAGGAATCTTTGCTGTTCTGCCGTAGAAATGATTTGCTCTGATGCAAATAATTGACACTTGCTGAAGAAAACCATAATGCTTATTGAAACTTGAGACAAGAACCAGCAATCCTGAAACTCTGTCATGAAATTCTAGATGCTGCCAACTTTAAGGTCCCCTCAAAATATTCATTTATATTTTGGAATGTAAGCACTTAGAATCCAGAAAACCAGGCAACGCTCCAGCAGGTGCCCCCAGCAGACACATGCTCCGCCATTTTGATTTACTTGTCTTGGGATTTGTCACTTGGGCTCTCGGGGTACCAGAAAGAAGATTGAAAGCAAGGACAGAGCGTTTGAATATATTAAGCACAGTAAGAATCCTGCAATTGATTGATCTCCCATGACTGAAAAATCGGCTTATGAAGCTGATAGGGAAAGAGCTAAAAATGAAGGCTAAGAAATGTACATACGCGGTGGCTTCTCAGCACAGTAGCTAAGATCACTAACAACTGAGAGTCAACCAATACAAGGAAGGACTTATTTAAGGAACAAAATGGCTATGAATGTGATAGATACAATATTCTATGACATATACACTATTATCTGTAAACAGTATCTACATTTCCAAGCTGATGATGATAATGATGATGGTAAGATCTTCCGTATATGATCTTTCATCTGACACCATATATATTACTTTGCCTAAGTAATGCACTAAGTGTAAAAATAATGTCTTAGGGCCCTCCTCAGTTATTTCCTTCTAGAATGGAGTTAAAGTTTTACCACTTCAAGATAGGGTGTTTAAGTTAGAAAAAGGAAAAAGGACTCATCTTGAGAATTTTGCTTTTTCTTTTAAAATGCCAAAAAATGGGAGCACCTGGGTGGCTCAGTTGGTTAAGTGTCCAACTCTTAATTTCAGCTCAGATCTGGATCTCAGGGTCGTGAGTTCAAGCCCCGTGTTGGGCTCCACACTGGACACGGAGCCTACTTAAAAAAAAATGCCAAAAATGTTTAATGCCTTTGGTATTTCAAGGGCTAAGAATTTGGTAACTAGCAACAGTACTCTGAGACCTTGTTCCCAGTGAGCCATTGTGATGTGTGGAAATCATATTGAGCAGAATCCCTTAGATGGGTGCGTTGTTGAGTCTCTCTTTGCCTAGTGCTTTAAAATGTTTTGTAGGAGGTTTTAATTGATTCTAGCGTTAAATCTGTTTATAAGGACTTGAACATAGTAGTGAGGTTTTTTGTTTTTTTTTAAAGCAACTAGAAAGATCAATGGTTGCCGAAATAGGCAGCCAAATAAAGAACTATGCCCAACAAGAAACAGCATTCAGCCAGAATTCGCCCATCGGGAATTCAGACAGTCACTCCCCAGCCTTTAAGAATCATCACCCGTATCTGAGAAGCGATGGGCTCCTACTGCCACTTGCCAGGAGAGCATCTCCATGATAGATTTTTAATACTTGGACAAATGCTAATTCTAATAACCTTAAACCTTTGCCTCCCATCTATGCAGATATTTTTGTGTGTGCATGCCCCTGGCTAATCATCATCAAAACAAATTTAATGGAGTTTCATCCAATTAGATATTGTCACCAAATGTGAGAACATTTCCCTGAGATGTCTGATGTTCTTCTACGCACGCAGGAAGGGTAGAGTTGAAGGGCGGAGGGCAGTGTGGTTCAGAAGCAGGAGCATCCAGTGCTCGGCATATGCAGAAAGAGTTTTCAAAAGACAACCTCAAATAAGGCGAGAAAGCTGTCTTTCTAGACCTTCAATTTTGAGAATAGTTCACAAGAAGTATTCTGTTTTTCAATTATGGATTACTCTTGTGAATAAGTTCTGATGTTTACAGGAGGAAAGCATTCCTCTGAAGTGAAATAGTTAAATTGGGGTTATTGAGGATCTAGTGGGAAAGTGCTGAAAAGGAGATGCCATTGTGACCCTGTTGCTCAATACTAGCATCTGTCTGCCTCTATTCAAGAGCAAGGTGAAGGTTAATCCTGCAGCGGTGCTTACTAAATTCGGCCATTAATAGCTCAAGAATTCACAAGTAGGCTGTTTTCAGTCATTCATTTGCAGACATTTATAAGGGACCTGGTCTTGGCCAGGCACTATGCTGAGCACAGAAAGATGAAGGAGACCTAGTTCTAATTCAGCCTTAGATTTAAAACAAGATTTACTTCTACATGTAAACCACATTCTTCCTTCCCCTGCTTGCCTCTACCTGTGTCTTTTCGTTTTTTTGAGATGTGAACTAGTTATTTCTCATTAGAAGAGTGATAATAAATGAAATAACTTTTTAAAAAAAATTAACCTTTTAATAGATCGGCAGCTTGGGGCAAAGCATCATAATTTTTAGAGGCTAATATCTGATTTAAATAGTAAAGTCTACATAATAATGTATTGAAGCTAGACATGAAACTGACTCTTGAGGGAAAAAAGAGAAAAGCTTCAGAACACGATAACCAAAAACCTGGAATCTAAACTGAAGCGAGAAACAAATTCAGATCTCATTTGGAAGATCTTGCTGCCCATTCAGTATAGATGCGTGCTCTGGTTAACCTAAAAATACACATAGTGAGAAATTAAAACTGTAGTAAGCGTGTTATTTTGAAACTCCAGCAATTGATACCTTTTATACTTTGTGGGCCAGATTTAGAACAGCTTGGCTTACTTGAAGAAATCAACTCGTGCTCTGTTCTCTGAAGATCTATGATTTATTTCATATTGTTAGCATTAATTGATAGATAAATTACACTTTATGAAAACTTACAACTTTTGTGCTTCAAAGGGCACTGTCAAGATAGCGAAAGACAACCCACGGAATGAGAGGAAGTGTTTGCAAGTCATCTATCTGTCTGATAAGGGACTTGGACCCAGAATATATAAAAAAGTCTTATGACTCAGGAACAAAAGCAGTCGCACTATAGTTCATTAACTTTTGATAGTCCCCTACACCTTCTGGTGTATTCTTGGGGCAGATGTTTTCTCAGACATGAGGTAGGAGGATACTTCAGGGCAATAGCTGATCTCTGACAGCCCAACACAAGCCTCAGTTCATCCTGGTCGGAAGGGAGTGACATTGGCCTTGGCCACACTCAAGGCCAAGTGCCAGCTAGCTTCTCTGGCCCCTTCCCTGTTCTCTCCTCCAAGAACACCGTGTTGTCCAGCCACAGTGGCCAGGACTGTTGTTCCTACACACCATGGCCCTTCATTCCTCAGGACGTGCAAGCCCTCTAGAGTCTAGGCCTGCTCACACCTCGGCCCACCCACCCACCTGGTATATTTACTCCTTGATGCCCTGCTCAGTCTAACATCTTAGCTCTCTGAAAGAATTGATGGCACTCTCGCCTGAGCAAGCATGTCCATATCATAGTCTGTCTCCTTAGGTAGCTTCTGAGACCCACCCCCCTCACGGGCAGGGATGACATCTCATTCATCTCCCTGTCCTCAGTCATAGCTCAGTGCACAGCCATGGTAGATGTCCGGATTTGTTTCACAGATGGAATTGTTGGACTGGGTGGAGCCTCAGTGGAGCCTTGGAAGAGGCAGGTGGCGAGAGGTCCCAAAGTCCCTGGGAGAAAGGGCCTGACTGTATGGGGTGTATTGCACAGTGAGGAAGCAGAGCATTTGCTTCAAGTGCAGGCACTTTGCATTGCTAAGGGGAGGGACTAGGTGATCTCACAGGCTCCCAGACATAGCCTTCCATTCAGAGAAATCTACTCCAGCCTCTGCCATCGTGCCCGAAAGTGACTGTTACTTGGGCTTGCATATCCCGCCCCTTCACATGCTTGGGATTTAATGTCTGACAACTGACCCTGAATCATTAGCAAGTGACCTTCCGTGACTCTTAATGTACTTTCCATCTAATCAGTTTGCTGCCCGCTCACAGCCTTCAACCGCATGCCATTGGAATGACTCTTCCTACCGCTAGCTGCTTTTAACCCAGTTCCACGCAAACTTGAGGCTCTCCTGCGGAAAACTAAACCTTGTATCACCTTGTGAGCCAAGTTGATAAATTGAGTTTGTTTCTTTTGTTTCCCCTTTTGGATGTACCTCCTTCCGGTTTGTTTTGAATTTTTATTATGCTTGCTTTGTTTTCTTTATTGCTGTCCCTTCTCTTATTTTGTTTTCTCCATTCTTCTCATTGGAGGCAATGAGCCGTCCAGCGGCCGGAACTCCCCTCTCCCTTACCGGCCAGACAGTCGTCCTCTCACTCCAACCTATGCCCAGGCCCCTAAACATTTCCATGTTCCAGGTAGGAGCTGACACGGTCTTTGTCTGGGTGTCCTGTCACGGTGTAGAATGTAGCCCTGTTACCTGTCTCGTCTCATTCCTCACGCTTTCTTCATCGGGATGCACACAGTCGACAAACCCTAAATTGCACGATCTGACCCAGAGGGCCTTTCAGAAGTTTGGGATGTGAAATGCCAAGGATTGTATGGAAGGTTTAAGTTTTCTCAAAATTTTTTGAAGGGGGGTGGGAAGCAGAGAGTGAAGGAAGGAGGGTTGAGTTGCTTTGTTTTGTTTTTATGAAGATTTTGATTTTACCTGTATATGAGTGCCCTTTGAAGTTATCACTCTGTGGTTTGGTGTCATTGACTAATTATCACAATGACAATCTACTTATCTTCTCATCCTCGAGAATGAACCACAGCATCTCTCAAGAGTACTTTTATTTTTTTCCTGTTTGTCTCCAGTGTGGAGATTCTTTCTATGGACTTTTCAGAGAAGCATAAAATTGGATCAATTGGTTGGTCCTTCTGCAATGTATAACCAACTGACTACCTTCTTAGCCCACAAAGATATCTTGCAATTTAGGCTTGGTGCTGTAAGCTTTGCTGAAGTCATAAGCATTTGCTGTCACAGTACAAATAGTAATTTGCCATCAAGAACTGGAAAACTCAGAACCCATCAATATTTTAATGTTTAGGTCAACTCAATTTTTAAGGGCAAGATTGGCTATCAGAGGTCACGATATTTTTTTTTTTCCATTGGAAGTACATTGTTTTGTTTCTTTTAAGCTCCTGAAAGTGGTTTAATAAATTACCTATTATTAGGACACATATTTGGAATCTGTAATAGTTTTTTTTCTTTTGCATTCCAAACTTACCTAATAAAACAGGAAAGTTCAGTGAGATTCATACCGCTAAGATAGAACTGCCTTTTCAAATAAAGCTTCACTGAACCTTGAAAATCAGTGTTGTACATTTGCAACCTTTTTGCGTGAAGAATGCCCCCACCAAGATACGGTGCCCAAGATTCGGGGGAAGCAGACCTTTTGAAATTTCCTGAGTATTTGCAGTCAAAGCAAAACTGTAGCATTATCAAATGGGGTCCTGTATAAATAAATGAGTAACATTCAGTATCTCTTTTCCTTTCTTTCTTTCTTTTTTTTTTTTTTTTTAATAAATTTGACCTATACAAGTTAGGATCCTCTCAAACATTCTGTCAGCACATCAGACAAGCCTTGCACATAAAAACTGTTTCTATGTTTTAAAAGACTACTCTTAATTATATTACATTGCTTTCCACTGTTCCACTCATTAGTTGAAAAGAAATTGAGCCCCTGGTATCTACTGCGAGCTCAATTTCTAGACAGTAGCAATTTGGGGACCTTCCCCAAACTGGTTATGTCTTCCTCACCACTAGATCCCGTCCTTCCACTGCTTCCATTTCTTCCTGTTTTAATCACACTTTTAGTGAAGTACGTATTTGCAATAAATGGCTCATGAATTAGTTACATCTCTATATATCCTAAGATGTATTACAAAGGATTCCATATCACTTGTCTGTAGTAATTCACTCATTCCTGGAACTTCTTCCCGTAACTTCTTTGTAATACAAAAGTTAACCTTCCGGGTTGTTTTTATTCAAGAGTCTTCAGTTTGGTTTGCCTCTTGGTTGATCTGTTTTTCCCATCGCTGAACCGGTTCCCATAATCACACACCTTTGCTTTTCATTTCCACAGATCAAGGGATCAACATTTACCGAAAACCACCCATCTACAAACAGCATGGTAAAACCCGCTTTCCTCCGCATAGCTTTTAAGTAGCGGCGCCTGCCGAACTTTTTGCTGTCCTCTGAAAGGCTTTTCTGCTGCTGCTTTTGAGAATCAAACTGGGGCGCCCAGCGTATTATGCCTTTATGGGTTCCTAAGATGAAATTATTGTGAGATTGGTTTTCCTAGAAAGAGAACGCTTAGCTTGGTTAGGAAGCTCGCAGTAATTCACAAACACCTTTTTTTTTTAGCATCAAATAATTTAACCAGCCTCTATAATAATTTGGATGAGCTTCTAATTAGTTTAAATAAATTCGTGAAGGCCAGCTACCTAGAAAAATTAACTGGACTAAGCCTACATCAACTCGACTGTCCAATTCCCCAGTTTCTTATGGGCATGCAGATGTCTGTGCCTTGGGGTGGAATGGACAGGACACACTCCAAGTCCTGGCCTTTCCCTCGATGGTTCTATGATATCATGGACACAATTACTCTGTCCCTCAATTTTCTCATAGGCAACAACCAGTGAGTTAGGCCAGCTTGTCTCTGAAATCCCTGCAAACTAAAATCACTAACATGGATTTATAATTGTGTTTTCCTTTTCTGGAAATAAAGAATTTTTAAACCCAGGAAATCACATTACCATAGGTAAATCACATTTCCCTCCACCATTTTTAGGTCTCTATAAATTAGGTGCTGTAAATCTTTGTGAATGGATAGAAAGCCAATACTGGTCTTCAGGTGATTTCAGAAAATCATACACAAAATGTGCCTGGAAATTTGAAGGCTGCCTTTAAAAAATCTAGTTGACATTAATGAGTCCTTAAGGATTAGGATGACATCAAAAGCAAAGAAAGTGGAAAATGCACAAGGAAAAAAATTTAGGCCAATATTCTAGGGGGAAGAAAGACAATGTACATATTGTAATGGTTCTAGAACTGTGATTTTTTTTCTTTTCTTTTTTTTTCTTTTTTGAGATTTTACACCATGTGCTTGCTTTTTTTTAAGTTTGTTAACATTGTTTTTGTTTGTTTTTTTATGGTTTAATGTCTTCTCACCCACTCATTAACATGTGAATGTTTACTGACTTCACCAATTCTAATGCGTAAGTACTGCTTGAAGTCATGCTTTTTTTTTTCTAAATTTAGGAGTGAGACTCCAAGAGTTTGGTTTATCAATGTAGAAACTGTTTTTATTACTAAAATCTCTAAGGCCCTGCCTCTCTAAGCAAAAGTAATCAAATAATTAAGATTTAAAGAGAGTAGATCGTGTTAGCTTATTTATTTGAAAGAGACTGGCTTTTTTTTTCCCTGAAATGCTCTCTGACTTGACTCTTTCTTTGTCATCATTAAGAGTATCTCAGTCAGAGTGCCTTCCCAAAGGACATTGTGCAAAAGAGCAGTTCCATGGGATAGAACAAGATGGCATGCCAAAAACGGGTGTCTGGGCCCCGAAGCATTTGGAAAATGCTAGATTTAAATAAAGTCACACTTTTTTCTTTTTTTTGTAATGCAGAACGTCTCCGTCTTTCATATGCTAACCCATGTTGTCCTTCTTTAAGAAGAAGATGTCCTTTGGAGTGTTTTCCAGGCTGAATGTTTAATTTTTTTCTCATGAGGTTAAAGAGTCAGAGAAACACTACTACATGCTTGGCCAAGACTTCACCCCTTATGAGTCTATAGGGTGACCTTGGTCAAGTCGCTTCAGGAAACCGAGACCCAGAAGGTTACTACAAGAATGGGGAATTCGAGCTGAGATTTCAAAAAAATTATTTCCAGATTTTAAAATATGTGAGCCCAGGAAGCGGGGAGAGTTTTATTTAAAGCGTTCTAACTCTATTTTGAAATGTTTAGTTACATCCCAGGCCAGTCTGCCAAATTAGCCAGAATCAGGGTCTGACCATTAAACCTGGTTTGTTTTGTTCCAGCTCTGTGATTAGATTCGGAACTCTAAGTCAGGGACTCCTCTAAGCAGAGCCATCAAGAGCCCTGTGAACTAAGGTCCTTGCTAGTCTGGCTTTTGTTGTTTTTAAAGTTGGATGACTCACTTGTATGTGCAGACCCTTGAGGAAAACAAGGAGTGTTTTGCATATATAAGGCGCCATGTTGAATTCCTACAAGCTGAGCGCGGATTTTCCCATTGCCATATCTCCTAGGACTCAAGACACATATATAATATGTAAGGATTAGAATGAACTGGACAGATGATGGCTAAAATGAACAAACACAAATACACAAAGAGACAAAGCCAGCCCTCTCCTGACTAACAACTACAGTCAAATGACAATGTCATGTTTTTAACTTAGTTCTTTAATTTCAAATTGCTAATTCAAATTTCTAATTACTCTTGAAGAGTGTTATCTGATGGAACTTTCTGTGATGATGGAAATGGTCTACCTTGGTGCTTCCAGTATGGTAGCCATAAATCACAGGTGGCTACTGAGCACTTAAAATGTAGCTAGTGCAACCGAGGGATGGAAGTTTAATTTTACTCATTTGTTGGTTTCGTTTAATTTAATTAATTGAAATTTAAGTAGCCATGTGTTGTGAGAGCTAGTATTGGACAGCCCAGCTCTGGAACAAGGCATTTCAGATATCGAATGAAGTTTTGCTTCCTGCAGAACATAAAGAAAAGGAGTTGTCACTAGGCACCACTGAGTGGCTGGGCAATTGATACTGGTCATAAACAGCTTTCTGGAGTTGAAATTTTTGCCAAAAAACAAGAAAACTGTGTAAGTGGGTTGTACCACCATGGCCTTGCAGACGGATAGCTAAGCTCCCCCTGATTCCCACCTAGATGCAGCTGCCTTGGCAGCCCAGAGCAAGTCTTCAGAAGATATCATCAAGTTTTCCAAGTTCCCAGCAGCCCAGGCTCCAGACCCCAGCGAGATACCAAAGATTGAGACGGACCACTGGCCCGGTCCCCCCTCACTTGCTGCCGTAGGTATGCAACTACTACAGCTAAGCCCCATGGACAAACTGGTAGGAGATTGCAAAATGAAATGCTTTCCAAATATGCAAGAAAATGTGTCCTATTGTAAAGACTTTTAAGAAAATATGACGAGAGGCAGAGAAAAGCACTGAGGTAGTAGACACATGTGTGCAAAATGCTTCAAAATTACAAAAACCCAATCACCAGAGCCTTGCTCTAACCAACCCACTAAGAGGCAGACAGAACTGGTCTAAAACGGATGGTTAGCATGGACTCTCAAGAGTTATTACTGCAAAATCAGTAACTCTTGAAGCAGTTGAACCAGAGCCTCCTGCCAAGAACATTGTTCTGTCTAATTAGAGTCTGGTGGGCGGATTTACTGAGTGTCCACAGAGGCGTGACTTCTTTCAGTTAAACTTGTTTTAGACTACTTCGGGGTTGTAATGACAATTCTCTTAACAACCAGTCTTAACATAGAAGCCCTTGCACCTTTCTTGCGAGATCACGTTCTCCATCACTAAGAAGGGCTGACACAGAGTCACAGATGCTCTGAAATACTACTCGTGTAAAGTTATTTGATTTTCCATCTATCATTACCATGAAGTCTGTGCTAAAATGTCACATTTGAGCTGTTTCATTCTTTGCTTTGAACCACAGATCTTTGCTTTAGGACTGTGTCTGTGTTTTTACTGTTTTGTCAGTTGTGAAATCATTTGGCCTAAAAAGTCATATTAGCAAATTCAGAAGCTAATACTGAAAATTGAGTGAGTCAGCTTTACAAAGATATAACTATCTCATCACATTTCTGTTGACAACCTTTTAAAAATGGCCTTCAATTTTCCAAATTTCCACATTTTCTTCATCATGCTTTTTCTCAAGTTATTTTCTGGAATAACTTTTACAAACAATGTAAGTGGATTTTAAAGCAATCTATGTTTATCCAAATACTTGAAGGAAGGAAAATCTACTTCCCTGGGTTTATGATTTGCAAGTACTCTATTGTGTTGCCTTAAGATTTATCTGATTCTTGTAAACTTGTGTCTTTTAGTTTTTATTAGTGGAGATTAAAGAGAGAGCATTCACAGTGACATTTATGATTTTAGGAACCAAGAATCAATCATCAGCTTTTCTCGGCCATACTATGCCCCACAGGCAGTTCCTGGAGCCTTTGGGGTTCCTAGTTCAGTCTTGCTGCTTCAAGGGGGCATAAACAGCTAAATTTAGGGGAAAGGTAGAATTAATACTTTGTTGTTAAAATCATCATCACTAAATGGTTTAAAGCTTTTGGGGTTCCAAAATGAAGAAAAATTCTGGCCCATTAATCAAAATGATAAAAACTGAGACCATTAGTTCAAGTTTATTTTGATTAGATTAGCAAGCTTTCCTGTTTCCTCCCACAGCCAGATTAATCCAAGCAATTTAGGAAAACAATAATTATCTTAATTTTACAACCATTCGGACAGATTCCTCCCTTTCACTCCCTGACTCCCCTTTTCCCAGAAGCTTAAAAACTATAAACGATCTGCTAGATTGGACTAAAACAACTCACTTTTTAAGGGTCTTAACACTATTCATTGACCCATTAGTATAAAACTCTTTTGTGACCATTTTTTCAAAGGACTGAGGGAAAGAAACATTAGAGACTCGTCTCTTAAAATAAAAATAAAAGCATGCTTCTTAACCAATTAAGGGCAGAAGATAGGGTGACTGTTATGAGGACAAGTCTAAATATTCAGAAAAAGAGAAAACTAGAAGATTGCAAAACGTGTCACAAGGGAGTGACTGTCTTACCTGTTCATTGGTCATGTACATGAATTTGGGTTCCTCCCTGTTTGAAAGCTGACCTCAGGGACATCCAAAGAATAACTCTAGACGCCCCTCCCCGATAATACAGAGGGCTCTGGCCAGTGGCCCGTGGGATGACTTAGACCCAATCATAACAGCTCACGGAGTCCTAATTGAGCAGGTCAGTTGTTAGGAGGCCAAAATTCATGACTTACTGGATCCCACATTGAACTGGCCTGAAACCCGAAACCCACCAGTAGGGCTGAATTGGTGGTAGGCTCTTTTTGCCTCGCGGTGTTCACGAATGTTGAAGACCACTGCTGATTTTGCCAGCCAACCAAGTTGAGCACAGGTGGACTAGTCCTGTAAGATCCCCTTGCCATGGGGCTAACGTGAGAAGTTGTCTTTGCTGTGGAATTAGGAGCCGACATGAGACGCAGATCTAGCGGCAGAGAGGAAGATGAGGAGGAGCTTCTGAGGCGCCGGCAGCTGCAAGAAGAGCAATTAATGAAGGTTTGTCCTTAAACTACTTTGCTGCAGTCTTCAGTTCAGTTCCCTAGATCTGGATTTTTTGGATGGATACCATGGGCAAGCCACCAAGTGAATGAGAGGCCATCCCAGCCCTCGAAGGGCTGGAAATCCAGTAGGTGAGAGAAGACAGGCCTCTAGTGACCCGAAAGCAGGGTACTGAGTACTTAGTGGGTTCCAGAAGATATGGCCTGGAAGCTGGAGGTCAGAGGGATATGGAATGTTCGAGCTTCTGCGAGGAGAGCCAGACCGCGTGGGGTATATGTGTGCAGCGCATGTTCAAAAGGGCCAGGTGGAGCCAAGCTCTTCACCCACGTGGTGCGACACCTGCCTTCCCTCGTGCAGGGTCTGCTGAAGGAATTCCCTTGGGATTATTTCTCCAAGGCTTTCCTCAGGACTTGTAGGACCTTGTGTGTCTATCTGAGCTAGGATGGAGGGGATAAAATGGACTCCCACCAAGACGTCCTCATTATACCCACCCCACCCCACCCCCGTCACAGCATCCCAGACCAAAAGAAGGATAGTCCATTATAGCCTGGGGTAGAGGGAGCCAGGACATTATATACTCTCCCACCAATAAGGGACTGATGAATCCCTTCACATGACATTTTCCAAAGCTACTTAATCATATGGGAAATGCACATGATACTAGTTATATGGAGGGAGAGGATACAAAGTTGCATTTATAGCATGATCCCACTTTTGTATGATATGTGCAGAGAAAAATGCTGGATGGATATAAATCAAAATGTAAATGGTGGTTATCTCTGAGGGGTGGATTACGGGTTAGTCTTCTTTCCTTCTAGATTTTCTAAAATCTGTGCAATGAGCATGTGTTCTTCTTGTTTTTAAACAAATCAATCTAATTTCTTTTTAAAGGATACTATCCCCAAACTCCCCTTTGCACATCAAAAATCTCCACACAGTCACACATGCCTCCTGTGGTCACCTGCCGGCACGTCCCGGGAGGGCAAAGGAGGGAGAACATTTTTCTGACATGGAGCTTGGCCCATGCTTGGCTGAGAGGGGTTCAAGATCCAAAACCTGGCCTATCCCTTGAGGAACCACCAGGCTCTGGCACCAAATGCGTTCAAGCCACTCCACGGTCAGGAACTTTTTGCAGGACCTTCTAAAACAGAAACTGCCATTCTGATGATAATTGTGGGCTTCACTCTCATCTTTCTTCTCTTTGTGATAGCTCAACTCAGGCCTGGGGCAGTTGATATTGAAAGAGGAGATGGAGAAGGAGAGCCGGGAGAGGTCGTCCCTGACAGCCAGTCGCTATGATTCTCCCATCAACTCAGGTGAGCAGCAGACCCACCACATTCTCCCAGCCGAGAGCCAGCCACTGGCCTGCTGGGAGCCCGTCTGGACTGTTCCAGGAGAGGCGGGGCCATTTCTGGTGGAACCTACAGAGTGTTCTACATGAGCAGAAGTATGAGAAACATACTGCCTGTCAACTTAGCTTATGAAGATGCCATAGTTCTTCCTTAAATGTATATTTTCTTCATGTTGGAGATGGGGGAGTCCTTGGATGATTTTAGTGTTTACTACATGCAAGCACTTTTGCTAGACATTGTTCCATTTATTTCCACAACATGCCAGTGAAGTAGGTGATATTATTATTCCCATTTTGTAGATCAGGAGACAGGTATAGGAAGTTTAAGTAACTTACCCAATGTCACATTATTAATAACTAGCAAAACTAGGATTCAGGAGTTGAAGCATTATAACCATAGAGCCCACATGCTGAACTGGAATGCCCTGCGACCTCTCCTTGATGCCTCACTGGCATCAATCTCGGATTCGTGGTTTACTAATCTTTAGAGTTCCTTCTGATCCTGTAGTTCTGGTCTCTAAGAATATATAGTACAGTATCTACATGAGTCAAGAAACAAAGACTTACAAAGATGAAATACCAGGCCAAGGTGTTAAGCTATGGAGCCAGAATCCAAGCCCAGGTCTGCTTCCTCCAAAGCTCCACAGTTTATGTGATGTCATGCTGTTGATTAATGGGATGTCCTATCCCATGCCTCTCAGGAACTCTACTGTGGTGAGCCAGGAGAGCATGACAACATACATGGTTGGCTTTCAGGTCAGTTATTGCCACTATACCAATTGGAGCATGAGCTTATGCATCCACATGGCCCTGGCTTCCAATCATTGCTTAGCTATTTCTAAGGTGAGTGACCTTGGACAAGATACTTAACTTCTGTTAGCCCCTACTCCTTCTCCTGTAAAATGGAAATAATATAATAGTGCTGTTAGGGTTGTATTGAGGATTTGGAGGTAAAGAAGTGCCAAGCACCTCTCCCTTCTCCACTCACTCACTGCATCACCCAAATGTGGTGGCCTTTCATGAACATTCGAGCCCAATATTTTTTGGGTTATTTTTTTTTCTATTTTTCTATGTATCTTCTATTCAGTAAGGTGGAGATGCATTGCCAGTTTCATTAGAGAATTGGGCTTCTGGGGGCACCTGGCTGGCTCAGTTGGTAGAGCATGCGACTCTTGATCTTGGGGTCATGAGTTTGGGCCCCATGTTGGGGGTAGAGTTTACTTTAAAAAAAAAAAAAGCTATTAAGAATTGGACTTCTGATTTCCTTTTTTTACCTTTTCTCATTCAGCTTCACATGTTCTATCATCTAAAACCTCATCTCTCCCAGGCTATGGAAAAAATGGGCTTCATCGGGTAAGATTTCTCAATTAATTGTTCCTGAGTTGATTCCCTCTTCAGTCCTGGTTGAAGTGCTAATATACTGTCTGAATATGTCTGATAATATGATCTCAGTATTAGAATATAATGAAAATTGTAATTCCCCTGATCTGGCGAGTCACTTTGAGTTACAGGCAAAATAAAATATTTCTATTGAGAGAAAGAGAAATTGACTTTAGATGAAAGAATAGCCTGTATCAGCTTGTGGGAAGGCTACATTAATTAATTGTGTGGCAAACATTTCCACACTCAAGCTACAAGTAATGACTTGAGCCCTCATCTCTGCTGTAAAAAGATCGGGAACATTTATGGCTATCACCCTCCCCAAAAACCGTAGAACAAATGCAATTGCATGGCTAGCTGCATGGAAAAATGTATTTTTATTTATTGGCAAAAGATAACTTGCTTACCCAGCACCTGCTGTCATTGGGTGCACTGCAAAAGACAAAGAGGTTTCACAATAGTAGAAGACAAATAATGAAGGTCCAGGAATTCAGCTTGGGAAGAAATTCTGAGGATTTTGTAAATCCTTTCTTCCTTTTCACATGTCTCCAAAACCATCACTCTGGAATAGATTGTCTAATGATGTGTTCTTTCTCATTTCAGCCTGTTTCTACAGACTTTGCTCAGTACAACAGCTACGGGGATGTCAGTGGGGGAGTGCGAGGTAAGGCCCGTGTGCCTGGGCTGCGGACTGACTGGCTGAGATTGAGATGAGACTGTGCAGTCACATCTACATTGGCTGGGTTCATGCTGTCTGACATCCGAAAGCCAGATCACAGCTAGCCTCTGTGAGCTAGTGGAGCATGCATTAAAATCGCAAAGCAGGAGATAGTCCAAGATGGTGCAGGAGTAGGAGACCTTAGTTTTGTTGGGTCCCAGGAATTCAGCTAGATAGCTATCAAATCACTCTGAACACATGCGAACTCAACCTGATAGCTAAGAAAATATCTGCAACTCTACAAATAGAAAAGTGACCACTTTCTGCAAGAATGACAAGATGGAAAAACTCACCTCAGAGAAGAGAACAAGAGGCAACACTGACCACCAGTGACCTAATCAGTATGGATATAAGTAAGATGTCAGAACTAGAGTTCAGAATAATGATTATAAAGATACTAGCTGGGCTTGAAAAAAGCATAGAAGACACTAGAGAATCCCTTTCTGGAGAAATAAAAGAACTAAAATCTAATCAAGTTGAAATCAAAAAGGCTATCAATGATATGCAATAAAAAATGGAGGTTCTAACAGCTAGGATAAATGAGGCAGAAGAGAGAATTAGTGATATAGAAGACAAAATGATGGAGAATAAAAAAGCTGAGAAAAAAGAGATAAACAGCTACTGGATCATGAGGGGAGAATTTGAGAGATAAGTGATACCATAAAGCGAAACAATATTAGAAAATTGGGATCTTAGAAGAGGAAGGAGAGAGGGGGGCAGAATGTATATTGGAGCAAATTATAGCAGAGAACTTTCCTAATCTGGGGAAGGAAGCAGGCATTCAAGTTCAGGAAGCACAGAGAACTCCCTCAAAATCAATAAAAATAGGTTAACACCTTGACATACAATAGTGAAACTTGCAAATCTCAGAGACAAAGAAAATCCTGAAAGCAGCTCGGGACAGTGGGTCCATAACCTACAAGGGTAGAAACATTAGACTGGTAGAAGACCTATCCACAGAGATCTGGCAGGCCAGAAAGGACTGGCATGATATATTCGGGGTGCTAAATGAGAAAAATATGCAGCCGAGAATACTTTATCCAGCAAGGCTGTCATTCAAAATAGAGATAAAAAGCTTCCAGAACAAACAGAAACTAAAAGAATCTGTGATCACTGAACCAGCCCTGCAAGAAATATTAAAGAGGATCCTTTAAGTGAAGAGAGAGCCCAAAAGTAACATAGACCAGAAACTAACGAGACAATATACAGAAACAGTGACTTTACAGATAATACAATGGCACTAAATTCATATCTTTTAATAGTTACACTGAATATCAAAAGACACAGCGTATCAGACTGGAAAAAGAGCAAGACCCTTCAATATGCTGTCTGCAAAAGACTCATTTTAAACCCAAAGACACCTCCAGATTGAAAGTGAGGGGGTGGAAAACCATTTATCATGCTAATGGACATCAAAAGAAAGCTGGCGTAGTAATCCTTATATCAAACAAATTAGATGTTAAACCAAAAACTATAATAAAAGATGAGGAAGGACACTATATCCTAAAGAGTCTATCCAATAAGAAGATCTAACAGTTGTAAATATGTATGCCCCTAAAATGGGAGCAGCCAATTATATAAACCAACTAATAACACAATTAAAGAAACACATTGATAATAATACAATAATAATAGGGGATTTTAACACCCCACTCACTGCAATGGACAGATCATCTAAGCAGAAGATCAACAAGGAAACAAGGGCTTTGAATGACACACTGGACCAGATGGATTTCACAGATATATTCAGAGCATTCCATCCTAAAGCAACAGAATACACATTGTTTTTGAGTGCACATGGAACGTTCTCCAGAATAGATCACATACTGGGTCACAAGTCAGGTCTTAGCTGGTACCAAAAGACTGGGATCGAACTGGAAGGTGTTATGCTGAGCGAAATAAGTCAGTCAGAGAAAGACGTGTATCATATGACCTCACTGATATGAGGAATCCTTAATCTCAGGAAACAAACTGAGGGTTGCTGGAGTAGGGGGGGGGGTGGGGTGGGAGGGATGGGGTGGCTGGGTGATAGACATTGGGGAGGGTATGTGCTATGGTGAGCGCTGTGAATTGTGCAAGACTGCTGAATCACAGATCTGTACCTCTGAAACAAATAATGCAATATATGTTAAGAAAAAAAAAAAGAAGATAGTAAGAGGGAAAGAATGAAGGGGAGTGGAATCAGAGGGGGAGACAAACCATGAGAGACGATGGGCTCTGAAAAACAAACTGAGGGTTCTAGAGGGGATGGGGGTGGGAGAATGGGTTAGCCTGGTAATGGGTATTAAAGAGGGCACATTCTGCATGGAGCACTGGGTGTTACGCACAAACAATGAATCATGGAACACTACATCAAAAACTAATGATGTAATGTATGGTGATTAACATAACAATAAAAAAGTAAAAAAAAAAAGATTGGGATCATTCCCTGCATATTTTCAGACCACAATGCTTTGAAAACTTGAACTCAATCACAAGATGAAATTTGGAAAGAACTCAAATACATGGAGGTTAAAGGGCATCCTACTAAAGAATGAATGGGTCAACCAGGAAATTAAAGAATTAAAAAAATTCATGGAATCAAATGAAAATGAAAACACAACTGTTCAAAACCTTTGGGATGCAACAAAGGCAGTCCTTAGAGGGAAGTATATAGGAATACAAGCCTTTCTCAAGGGCTCAAATATACAGCCTAAACTTACACCTAAAGGAGCTGGAGAAAGAACAGCAAATAAAACCTAAATCCAGCAGGAGAAGAGAATTAATAAAGATTTAGAGCAGAATTCAATGAAATAGAAACTAAAAGAACAGTAGAACAGATCAACGAAACTAGGAGCTGGTTCTTCGAAAGAATTAATAAGATTGATAAACCCCTGGCCAGACTTATCAAAAAGAAAAGAGAAAGGACCCCAAAAAATAAAATCATGAATGGAAGAGGAGAGATCACAACCAACACTGAAGAAATACAAACAATTATGAGAACATATTAGCAACTACATGCCGACAAATTAGGCAATCTGGAAGAAATGGGTGCATTCTTAGAGATGTATAAACTACCAAAACTGAACCAGGAAGAAATAGAAGACCTGAACAGACCTGTAACCAGCAAGGAAATTGAAGCAGTAATCAAAAATCTCCCAACAAACAAGAGTCCAGGACCAGATGGCTTCCCAGGAGAATTCTACCAAACATTTAAAGAAGAATTAATACCTATTCTTCTGAAGCTGTTTGGAAAAAATAGAAAGGAAGGGAAAACTTCCAAACTCCTTCTGTGAGGCCAGCATCACCTTGATCCCCAAACCAGACAAAGATCCTGCCAAAAAAGGAAGATTATAGACCAATATTCCTAATGAACATGGATGCAAAAATTATCACCAAGATACTAGCCAATAGGATCCAACTAGCCAATAGGATTATTCACAATGACCCAGTGGGATTTATTCCTGGGGTGCAAGGGTGGTTCAACATCCACAAATCAATTAGTGTGATACATTACATTAATAAAAGAAACGACAAAAACCATATGATCCTCTCAGTAGATGCAGAAAAAGCATTTGACAAAGTATAGCATCCCCTTTCTTGATTAAAACTCTTCACAGTGTAGGGATAGAGGGAATATACCTCAATATCATAAAAGCCATCAATGAAAAACCCACAGTGAGTATCATTCCCAATGGGGAAAAACTGAGAGCTTTTCCCCTAAGGTCAGGAACACGGCAGGGATGTCCACTCTCACCACTGTTGTTCAACATAGTACTAGAAGTCCTAGCCTCAGCAATCAGACAACAATAACAAAAATAAATAAAAGGCATCCACGTCAGCAGAGAAGTCAAACTCTCACTCTTTGCAGATGACATGACATTGTATGTGGAAAACCCAAAGACTCCACCCCCAAATTGCTAGAACTCATACAGGAATTCAGCAAAGTCTCAGGATATAAAATCAATGCACAGAAATCAGTTTCATTTCTATACACTAACAATGAGACAGAAGAAAGAGAAATTAAGGGAGTCGATCCCATTTACAATTGCACCCAAAACCATAAGATACCTAGGAATAAACCTAACCAAAGAGACAAAGGATCCATACTCAGAAAACTATAGAACACTCATGAAAGATACTGAGGAAGACACAAACGGAAAAACATTCCATACTCATGGATTGGAAGAACAAATATTGTTAAGATGTCTGTGCTACCTAGAGCAATCTATACATTCAATGCAGTCCCCATCAAATACCATCAACTTTTTTCACAGAGCTGGAACAAATAATCCTAAAATTTGTGTGGAACCAGAAAAGACCCTGAATAGCCAAAGGAATGTTGAAAAAGAAAATCAAAACTGGTGGCTTCATAATTCCAGACTTCAAGCTCTATTACAAAACTGTAATCATCAAGACAGTATGTACTGGCACAAAAACAGACACATAGATCAATGGAACAGAACAGACAACCCAGAAATGGATCCTCAACTCTAAGAACTATGGTCAACTAATCTTCGACAAAGCAGGAAAGAATATCCAATGGAAAAAGTCTCTTCAACAAATAGTGTTGGGAAAATTGGACAGCCACATGCAGAAGAATGAAACTGGACCATTTCCTTACACCACACACAAAAATAGACTCAAAATGGATGAAAGACCTAAATGTGAGACAGGAATCCATCACAATCTTAGAGGAGAACACAGCAACCTCTGTGACCTCAGCCACAGCACCTTCCTGCTAGACACATCTCATGAGGCAAGGGAAACAAAGGCAAAAACTAACTATTGGGACTTTTATCAAGATAAAAGGCTTTTGCACAGCAAAGGAAACAGTCAACAAAACCAGAAGATAACTGACAGAATGGGAGAAGATATTTGCAAATGACATATCAGATAAAGGGCTAGTATCCAAAATCTATAAAGAACTTATCAAACTCAACACCCAGAGAACAAATAATCCAATCAAGAAATAAGCAGAAGACACAACAGACATTTCTTCAAAGAAGACATACAAATGGCCAACAGACACATGAAAAAATGTTCAACATCACTCAGCATCAGGGAAATCCAAATCAAAACCACAATGAGATACCACCTCACACCAGTCTGAATGGCTAAAATTTAACAAGTCAGGAAACAACAGATGTTGGTGAGGTTGTGGAGAAAGGGGAACCCTCTTACACTGTTGGTGGGAATGCAAGCTGGTGCAGCCCTCTGGAAAACAGTATGGAGGTTCCTCAAAAGTTGAAAATAGAGCTACCCTATTACCCAGCAATTGCACTACTAGGTATTTACCCCAAAGATACAAATGTAGTGATCCTAAAGGGCACCTGCACCACAACATTTATAGCAGCAATGTCCACAATAGCCAGACTATGGAAAGAGCCCAGATGTCCATTGACAGATGAATGGATAAAGAAAATGTGTAATATATACAATGAAATAGTACCCGGCCATCAAAAAAAATGAAATCTTGCCATTTGCAACGATATGGATGGAACTAGAGGGTATTATGCTAAGCGAAATAAGTCAGTCAGAGAAAGACAATTATCATATGATCTCACTGATATGTGGAACTTAAGAAACAAAACAGAGGATCATAGGGGAAGGGAGGGAAAAATAAGATGAAATCAGAGAGGGAGACAAACCCTAAGAGATTCTTAATCATAGGAAACAAACTGAGGGTTGCTGGAGGGGAGGGCAGTGGGGGGATGGGGTAAATGGGTGATGGACATTAAGGAGGGCACGGGATATAATGAGCCCTGGGTGTTACGTAAGACTAATGAATCACTGACTTCTGCTTCTGAAACTAATATGTTAATTAATTGAACTTAATAAATTGTAAAAAATCGCAAAGCATCTCTACTGAAATGAGACCATGAGAAGCAGGGTGTGTAAGAATGAATTCATCACTCCTGCCACGTGCTGAGCACTCAGTAGAGAGATACCTGGTGTTACAGTGTGCTCTAAGCAAGACGTAGCCAGGCTGTCAAAAATGCACATGACTGAGTGAGAGACAGGGACGGGTTGGGGTGAGGGGAGAGAAGCTTCCAACAATGCATGGTGGAATCAGAGAAGGCAGAAATACCTTCAGAGTGTCGGGGAGAGCTTTTGTGAGGAAAGGGTATTTTAACTGATCACAGCAACTGGAGCAGGCCTTCCCTGGCTTCAGGGGGGCAGGGAGGTAGTGTGTTCAGAGACCCCCGCAGAGAGAGGAACGTGGTGTGTTGGAGAATGTCTGGGGAATTGCAATAGGATATGGTATATTAATATGTCCATGTTTTTCTATGAGCTTTCCCTTCTGATATTTTCTTTTTCTTTCCTTTCTAGACTACCAGGTATGGAACACTGTGTCTCTCAAGTTGGCCACACCAGTAAAACAACCATTGTCCAATGCAGACACGGGTTGCTGCTCCACGGAAGGGTTTCTGTTGAGAAGATCCTTATTTGGGTTGATCTGTCTGGTTCATTAGTCCATAGATAGGAGGAGCCATGAGGATCAGGCATGCCTGGTGCCAACATCAGCTGGCTCTGTAGGCCTTGGGGATGTGGCCTGAACCAGGCTAGGTGTCAGGGGGGCTCTTGCTCTGGCCTCGGAGAGTCCTCTCTGGGCTGGAAGTAGACCAGCATCAAGGGCCTGCTCAAATACAGTTTTGCCTTTTAGTCATAACCGCTTGGTACTTTGGGTCCTCCCCTCCTTCCTGTGGTCCCACTGTCTTGGCCAATAGGAAAGAGCTGCTCTGGTACCATTCCCTTTTTCCTGGACCCTAAACCTTATAAAATGATGGTGGAGAATGAGAAAAGGGGAAAAAATGCAAAGAAAACGAAGAGTGAAATAACACAATCACTGACGTGGCACTTTTTTGATAGACCATATGCTTTCATGCATGGATCCTAAATTAGGAATTAGTCAATAGTTAGTAAGCCAGGATCTGTCCCCAACTTGATGATGAACAGTATTCCCAGTATTCCTGCTTTTATGCAGCAAGGATCTCATTTTGAAAAATGTATGGTGATTAAGATGACACATCTAGGCCGCCTGGGTGGCTCAGTCGGTTAAGCGACTGCCTTCAGCTCAGGTCGTGATCCCGGAGTCCCGGGATCGAGTCCCGCATCGGGCTCCCTGCTCGGCGAGGAGCCTGCTTCTCCCTCTGACCCTCCCCGCTCTCATGCTCTCTCTGTCTCATTCTCTCTCAAATAAATAAATAAAATCTTTAAAAAAAAAAAAAAAGATGACACATCTACAAAACAGTGAGGATTTGAGACCCAAACAGGGAATTTTGGGAGGCCACGGAGTTGTCCCCACAGCTCCAGGTGCTGTCATGTGTTCCTCCTTAAACCAGCTTTTCTGTTGCAGACTCTCCCCGATGGCCACATGTCTGGGACGAGAATGGATCGAGGGGTGTCCATGCCCAACATGTTGGAACCAAAGGCAAGTGTAGCCATTCTCTGCTCTCACATGGGGACAGCAAACCGGGCATAATCCTGAAAAGATTTGTTTTTCTCTCTTTCCACCATTTTCAGTGTTGAGGCCTACTTGCTTCCAGGCTGATACATTAGACAAGCTGTGTCACAAAGTACCTGGACATTCACTGGTTTTGTCACACCGAGTCAACAGGTTTAAGTCCTCACAGGGTGTGGTACTGTGTGTTCGTAGTGAAGGACCAGCACACCTCTCCTGTGAGCTTAGTACTCACTTGGTCCCTGCCATGAGCACCACGAGGCATGCCCAGTGCTAAGTGGGGCAGCTGCCAACCACTCGAGATAGAGTGACCAAGACATCCCATTTGCCCAGGACTTTCCCAGTGTTAGCACTGGAAGTCTAGCATTCCGGAACCTCCTCAGTCCTGGGCAAACTGGGATGGTTGGTTACCCAAGCTCCAGACCATCCTGAAACTCCAGAGGTGTCCAAGGCTGTACTCCCTAGTGACCATAACTGGGGCTTACTTCAATGTCCTCCACCAGAACACTGCTTCTGGGTCAGCCTGGTTCCGTGAAATCATGAGCCAGTCGTGGAACAAGATTGTTGAACCCTGCAGAGGTACCCTCGCCATATAAACTGTGTTCCTATCATTTCACTTCTAATTTTTACCTTTACCCCCGAGACATAATAAGTTTGTATTCTTTCACTCAACAAAGCCACAGGGCTACGTGAGACATGATGAGTTGAGAAAACATGCAAGAACTGGTCCCTGTCCACGGGATATATGAGGAACACCCATCACTCAGATACCGTAATTATAATGTCTTAGAAGCTCTGTCTTGGGAGTACCAGATTTTAGGGAGATTCTGCTTGTTGATAAAATGGACAGCAGTGTTCTAGAAGAGGTGTTTCTCTTTGCTTCTCAGATATTTCCATATGAAATGCTGATGGTGACCAACAGAGGGCGCAACAAAATCCTAAGAGATGTGGACAGAACCAGGCTGGAGGTAAACTAACTGACCAGTCCCAACCGCAGATACCTGTGCATTTCCCCCAACTTTCCCCTAAGAAATATTTCAATGAAGGCAAAAAGAAAAAGAAAAGAATCAACCTCTCATGGTAGGTAGAACTAAGATAACTCGGGATTGAAAACCCAAATAATATACACTTACGAGATCAGCCTAAATGTGTGGTGAAACCCAGAAGATGAGCCAGGAGACACGGAATGATTTAGTCATCTTCTGCGGAAGCCTGATGTTGCCATAATTATGGCTGGTGTTGTAGAATGTAAGCCCATCCCTCTTCAGATATCCCAGCACCTGGGTTGAGCTCGTTGAGAGAGGGAAGGACGTGCTCAGTAACGAGGTTTGCCCTGGACAAGTTTCCCTCTTGGCTCTTTCCGCATTGCTTGCTGAAGGGTTATCTGGGTGTACATGCCCAAGACCTCCTTAGACACACAAGGCTGATCATACTTTTCCACTTGAGTGATTTTAATTAAAAACTCTGGCTGCCAGTCTTATAAAGAATCATTACTTTTCCCTGACAAAAGGCAGTACCTTTGTATGTGAAGTCAGTCTGGCACAGAGAATAAAGGCTCTGCTATCCTAAGGGAACTCTTTAGGAGGGACGACAGATGGAATCCATTCTCCTGGTAGACCAGGTGTCCAGCAGAACTGCTGCTGCTGAGCCAGGAGGAAGCCCCAGGGCTCCCCAGATTCCACTCTGGAAGTCTCTGTCTGGCTTTCTTAGTGCTATGGTCCATTTTCCCTGCATCTTCTCAACATCCCAAGGACCTGAAGTGGAGTTGCCTCCAGCATAACGACTCACCTTCCTATGTCCTATCACCACAGAGCATATGACAATGATCATTAATACTCTGCCAGCTCTTTTGTCTGCTGGGGAGGGTGCCTCACCTGGGCCAAGCAGGTAAGGAGCCAGTTGGTCCAGTGCCTGCTAACCAGCCTCAGAGGTAAACTCCTCTGCCATCATTCTGCCTTGCTCTTCAAAATGATCGCTTGTAGACTCAAGAACAAGTCTCAAGGCCATCCACGTGGCCATCAGGACTGACCACTATTCTTTCTCCCACCCACAGCGCCACTTAGCCCCAGAAGTGTTTCGGGAAATCTTTGGAATGTCCATACAGGAATTTGACAAGTTACCTCTTTGGAGACGCAACGACATGAAGAAGAAAGCGAAACTCTTCTAAGCCCGCCCCCCACATACCCCGCTGTGTAGACAGCAGTTAGGAAAAAGACTGATGTGGCGGCGACACATAGGATGTTGTGTTAAGGCCCAAACTTGATTGGAGAATTTGCAAACTACTATCCCTCAGCAACAACAAAACGGGAAACCTGATTAAAATACCCATAAGCCAAATATTGGGCCAACCACTGGCAACACTTGCCAAGAAGTAACGGGGTTGAAATTTCTGTGTTCCCCACACTCGACAGTAGTGTTCACATGTGACCTTTTGACATCACCTTATGTACACAACAGGAGCTACTTCTTTCATTTCCTTTATTGTCTAACCAGAGTGCTGACTGTATGGGTAGGAGCCAGCAAGTGCCCTTAGGATGCCGCGTGGAAAAAAGCAGTTGTAATCATTCCAAAGTAGGAATATATTTATTATGTAGCACCGTGGCTAAGAAGGAAGAGCCTGAGGGACATATCCATGTGGTCGCGCCGCTTTGCACACCCCTGTCCTCACTGGCCCCATGAAGCCCGGCCTGGGCCCCAGCAGGATAGAAGTCAGAGTCAGGGAACTGAGCAGCTCTGAGTGAGTGGGCTGAATAGCAGCCAAGGTCATTTTTAACAAGCTCCTTTTTCTCTACTCTTTGCTAGGACCTGGTTGGCAAATTACTTAGCTATTACTTAAAAAAAAAGAGAGAGAGAGGGAAAAGGAATGAAAGGAGTATCTCCCTTAATCCTTTTTCTGTGGTAAATTGTACGCTTCATTCTGCCTCCCCACCACTGCAGGCCCCCACTGCAAAGAAAGGAAAGGGAGAAGTGATCTCCATTTGTGTGCTTTTAGATGATTTTTGTCCCAGGGCCACAGCACTCTTGGCAAAAAAAAAAAAAAAAAAAAAGGAAGGGAGGAAAAGAAAGAAAGAGAAAGAAAAAGAAAAATTCTGTGTCCCGCCAATGCAAGTTCTTCTACCCTGCATCCTCTGCTTCTCATCCAGTGTCCTCTGAATCTGATCAAGCCCACATGGATTTTGGATTTTTTTTTTTTTTTTGAGGTCTTTTCACTAGTAGCCTAAGGAAAGGCACGCTTTGCTCTTGGAAATCTCTGCAACTCCAGGGTATATTGCCTCAGATTGATTTAATTTGGCCTTTTCAGCTTTCCTTCTTGCCTAGCTCTGTTGACTTCACGGTGTGTGTGTGTAAGTGTGTGTACGTGAACGCACCCAGCGTAGTTTGGGGAGTCCGCATGTTCTTTTATATTTCACCTCTGCTTGAATGTTTGTCCCGCTGTGCTGCAGCTTCTGAGGGATGTTTGCACACGTGCACATGACTCAGAGGTCAGGGTTGAGGCTACACCGCACCCGACGGCATCCTTTGTGGAAGGGTGTCCGTGTCAGGAGCCGGCATCCCCCGTGATTCAGGTTCTCAGGTCAGCAGCACAGTGAAGAGCCCAGACGTCAGATCAGGCTGTACATGGACATTGGAGTGTCACACCGGAGTCCGAAAATTCAGCAACACCAGATTGGAAGGGGAGCCTAGGATTTCACCGAAACTCGCATGTGAGACCCCATCATGATTCCCGGACGCCTCTGGCCGTGACTCCAATGAGCGGTGAGGTGGACAAGGGAGGGTATCTCCATCCAGCTCCACACATGGGTGGTTTTCACATTTATTCTCGTGCTTTGGGGGCTCTGCCTAGGAATTTAAATTCTGTTTTAAAGCCAAAGGGAAATCGTTTGAATTCTCTTCATATGCCGCTTCTAATTAAAGCTCAGAAATTCTTCCTGCTGCCACCAAATACTCGAATTAGTTAGTAGCCAATCTCCATGGTAAAAAGCAAGTAAAAATCGTTTTGGAGCCTCTGCTGCAGATCTCTAACTTGGGACCCACTCTGTCACCCGGCTGATATGATGGGCTCTCTGAGGGCTTTATGCCTCTCCTGTGCTCTTCCCGAAGGGCTTGGAAATGGCATGTCCTTCCAGTGCTGCACACTGAATGTTTGAGGACCGTTCTCACAAATACGAGCATGCATGTGTGCACGCACATGTGCACGCGTGGATGTGTGTGTGTGGATGTGTGTTCACATCTAACGAAAGCTATTAGCACATAAAAATTCCAGTTGTTAATGCAGTCCAAGGCACAGGATTATTACTAACATATTTTGCAAATGATCCTGATGGAGCAGACGTGAGACGACCAGCTCCTCCTCAGGCTGAAGCCCCCAGATTGCAGCTTGCAGTTCGGTGCCTTCAGTGGCCTCTTGCTTTAATTCAGTATTTCTGCTGTTCCGTCTTCGCTCTGATCTCTCTGGCAGCGGCAGCCTCAGTATAATGCCTGCGTATCCTAGTCCTTGCTTTGCTCTGGCAAAGTGTGAGGAGTGGGGACCATGGTGCATTCCCAGTCATCAACAACGAGGATGGCCAGATGGGTCCCAGTGCTAGGCTGGTGGAGAGAATTTGTTCATTACGGGGATCATAAAGGACCCTCAGTGTTGTCGTTGGTTAATGAGTTATGATCCATGCACATGCCGAGCAAATGTCAGTGTGAGAAAAATTGCAATGATAGTTAAAGATCTGAACCCAAAACCTGCTCCCACCGGCGAAACTCTACTTTTCTCATCTCTTTTGAATTCAGTTCTGCATCCAACTTGGGGGTGGGGGATGGGAAGCTTCTTTCCATATCAAGTTTATTAGCTTGTTTAAAACTATACCGTGCAAAAAAAAAAAAAAAAAATGCATTACCAGAAAATGTCAGTAGCCTCCTGTTGCAAGCAGCACGGTGCTATGCTCTGGGGAGGGGTCGTGGGAAACCATAATGTGGACTGGGTTCCCCGGCTCCACTCCCAGCAGAAGGCTCCAGCTGGAGGGATGGGCCATGGGGCAACCTGGTTCTCCCAACTGCCAAATCTAATATATGGCTACAATGGCCTATCCATTTTTTTTTCTTTAAACTGGACTCAGCATGCTTGTCCTCAAAATGTCCAGGCCACTGTGCAGGAGATTGGGGTTCTCTGCTTGAACCCCACTCTGCACTGCACATAAAAATTCCAGTTGTTAATGCAGTCCAAGGCACAGGATTATTCACTCTAGGCGAGGACTTCTACACATGGCAAACTTTCCTGGTCCATACCCCAAGGGCTATATTTTTGAGCACTGGGCTTATTTGTGATTCTTTAAACACACAACACCTGCACGAAGCGAAAGAGGCCTCTGACAACGTGAAAGTCAGTACTTCCTTTAAAGTTTCTTCCAGAAGAGCCAGGATACCATTTATTCTTCCCGTGTGGTTTAAGATGAGACCTAAAGAGCATTTGAGAACTTGGAGGGCCAACCATGCATCTATATTTCGGTTTGCGTTAGTTATGAAATGTCCTTAATGTGACTTCTTTGGTAACTAAAGATAAACTGCCTGTTCTCTGAAACCTCCAACAGAAAAGCCAGGGTTAATGGGTCATACGGTGCACATTCCCTCTGCCACTCTCATCCTCTCAATCTGGTGATGGCCGTCAACTCTACTTCGAGAAGTCTTGCTGGAAATGTTTATAAAACTTTCCCCTAATTTCTTTACACTTTAAAGCAAACACCTTTTTCTAAAGAATTGCTTCTCAGATGATTATATACAATATATATGCTTTTGCAAGTTAAAAAAAAATGGAATTAACCACTTTTGACTAGGTAGGTCTTTCTAAAAATTCTTTCAAAAAGCTTGGTGTTCGTGTTCTGTGCATTGAAGGGGCAGGTGAGCCCTCTCTCTGACTGTCAGGAAAGATGGTGGAAGGAAGTGAACTCTATGTAACACCCCCCGCCCCCATGTCGTCTGAGGCAAGCTCAGTTTTTACAAATCACCTCTTCTATATTACTGGTCACTGTTTAATCTACACTTCCTAGGCCAGCCTTGACCTGACTTGATCTTTAAAATTATTTTCTTTTGACAAACCAAGTGTTTGTGAGTAAACCCTACAACTCACTCATTAGTACTCCCTTTTGAAGAATGTTCTCTTCAGAAAAAGAGATTATTTCAGGCTTGAGATTTGCTGTGACACCACCTTATAGTGATAATGTACATTAAGGAAATTAGGCAAATATATAATGAAAGAAACTTTTACTTTGGTTTTAAAAAAAAAGACAAAATCACTCTTTCCATTTGCTGCTCAGGAAGCCATGAGGAGATGGTGATTGATATGCTCTGCATATGGACTTTTGTGTTTTTATTTGGGTGAGTTTAATTTATGGCAGACTCCAAAGGAAAGGGGGAAGTGGTCCGTTTCAGCTGAAAGAAATTTCTAAACAGTATATGTAAACACAGCAAAATTAAACAAATGCAACATTTTCTGATGGTTGGTGTAATGGACTGGCAATTGTTATCATGAAATAAAATTCTTCCCAAAAGTGTCTCTCTCAAGAGTGAAGATCCCACGAGTCACTTTCGGAGCCCATTCACCAAAGGTAGCGGAAGACAATACTGTACCCACTACCATTCAGCAAGGTGGTGAGCCACTTAATGATTGTATATGCCTGTCTTTCCTTACGCCATGGAAGAGAAAACAGTTGTCCACAATCTTGATGTTCCTTTTGGGTTCTGTGTACAGACCCGTCCAGTAATAAATGTGTGTGGCATCTGTGAGTTGCTGACAATCCAAATCTCTTGGAGTCCTTTCATTTTAAGTTCAGTTTAATGGAATTTTCTTGCAAGCGTCAGAAGACGTCCAGTCAGTTCTTCCTTCCCTCCCCTTTCAGACATATGAGTGTGAGTATTTGGAAGAACCGCTGTGTACAAGATGTGTCCTGTCCCCTGTGAAAGTGAGTGGGTGTCGGTCTGCGCCCCACAGACCACGGACTAGTGTGCAGAGGCAGGGGCGGCCGCTGGCCCCGCGTTGCCGTGCCTGACGGTCCCGACCTGCTCCGCGCTCCTGTTGCAGGCAGCACCCGCCGCTCCCCGCCCTGTCCTCTGCGTTGCTGCTGTGCACTCACCACTCAGTGAATAAAGTGTGTGCTTTATTCTATTGACAAACGCCTCCGCGTCGTGTTTCCTTGCTCGCTCCCCTGCACCTTTTAAAGGTCTGTCCCATTTCAAGAAGTACCGGTCCGACTTTCGATGACCAACACAAAACCAGGATCAAACCAGAGCCTTAGGAATGCATTTTTAGCACACAGGAAGGCTGTTGAGAAGGGGAAATACAACAAATTGCAATGGTATATTCCAGGACTGTTTGTCCAGTAATCCAGACCAAATTGACCAAGTTGACTAAAGTGAAAATACGTATTTTTTAGAGGGAGAGTGTGTGAGCAGGTGTGGGGAGGGGGGAGGGAGAGAGAATCTCAAGCAGACTCCCGGCTCACAGCTCTGAGATCATGACCTGAGCCGAAATCAATTGTCGGATGCCCAACCCACTGATCTACCCAGGCGGCCCTAAAGGGAGAATATTTAAAAAGAGCTACTGGGCTGTGCTGATCTACCTGGTGTGTGGTTTTGTGACTCAGAGCAGTGACAGTCTCATCATCTTGACAAGAAGGGGGAGTTGAAGTTTGAGGACAAGAGCTTCTGAACCACCATGAGTGCAGGCCACTTACTAAGAAACCGCAGTACAGTGGTAGAAATACGTCTTTCAGAGTTTTGACCTCCCCTGCGTTATCAGACTTTAAGTGAGAAAGTCTTCTAGATTTTGATTTACACGTTATTCTCATTGCCACAATTTGGGGCCTGCTGGAAAATACAAGGATGTATTTAGACTCGAGACCATAGCCATTCTACTGCGTGTCTGTCAAGCCTGTTGTCTTAGTCAATTCAGGCTGCTATTAACAGACTTCCATGGACTGGGTGGCTGGAACGGCAAACATTCATTTCTTACAGTCCTGGAGGCTGGGCAGTCCAAGGTCAAGGTGATGGCAGATCTGGTGTGTGGGGAGAATGTGCTTAGGTTTGTAGATAGCTGTCTTCTGGTTGTGTCCTCACGTTGCAGAGAGAGAGAGGCAGCAAGCTCTTCTGTCTCTTCTTCTAAGGATGCTAATCCCATCATGAGGGCTCCACCCTCATGATCTAATTACCAAAGTCCTTGCCTCCTAATGCCATCCCACTGGGGATTAGGATTTCAACAGATAAATTTGGGGGGCCAGGGGACACAAACATGCAATCCATAACACCTGTCCAGGGGCCAGTCACACTAGCATTCATGTGGACCCTCATCACAAAGCCAGAAACTGAGGTTGTGCTCCAGACAGTTGGCACCTTAGTTTACTAGTGTAGAAAACAGGTCAGGAGGCCCAGCTAGAGGCCTGTGTTCTATTCACTTCTGTCCCCACCTGCGCCGGCATCACCACTCTGGGCTCTGATGACCACAGTCGGCGTTTACCTTCAGCCCTCTCTTGAGCTCTCTGTGGCTTTTGCCACTATGATCACCATTTCATTGAAAGCTGACCCCCTCTGTTACTCCAGTGGTTAGCCCTCGCACATAGCCAAGTTCACAGCCCGTGGCCCTCGCCTCGTCCACTGCTGTCCCTCCCACAATGCCCCACCTTTGAATCTTGCCCTCCAGCTCTTCCAAACCACTGCGAGTTTCCTGAACATACCATGCCCTCTCCCACCTCTGCAGCTTTGGCACGGCATTTCTCCCGTACAATGTCCAATTCTTCAAGGAGCTGGAGAGCGGGAGGATCTGGCCCCAGGGACAGGAGATAATGGCAACACTATTTGAAAGCAGTCATCCATAGCTCTTGGGAGTTACCCATGTGAATCTCCCATGGGCTCCGTTTGTCCTGAATCAAAGACATGCCTGAGTTCACACCCTCTCTAAGAGCCTGCCTTGATGAGCCCAGCCCAACCTGCCCCAGGAAATTCTTTGCATGCCTATGGTTGAACATCACGTGTGACACTTTTCAAACGTTGCCTAGGACTGCTAGCTTTGCAGAACGGTGAACTGTGGTGCGGTCTCTACTGAGTGCCAGGCTTTATGTGAACCGTATTTCTCAGGGCAGCCCTCCAAGACAGGTCACTGTAGCCCTGCTATACAGGTGAAGAAACCAAAGCCCAGCGCCTATGAAATATGCCTGATCATCAACCAGTAAACTGTAAAGCTGGGATTACTGAGGCCTAACTTGAAATCCCATCCTGTTCTCCTCTGTGTCTCCATGACCTTCCGAAGGCAAGGACTGCCTCTCCCACATTCCCAGTCTCCTGGGGTGCGCTGCAGAGACGAGGTTCTCCATGTGAGACTGGCCAGTGCCCTTCACTAGGCGGTGAGCCCCATCACTGCTGCCAAGGTGCTATTATGAGCAAGCTTGGGGGGTACTCACTAGCTCTGGGTCTTAGGCCAGTTATTTCGCCTCCCTAGGCCTCAACTTGTTCTACTGCAAAACGAACAAAATACTAAGACCCTTCAAAGGACGGTTGCTACATTTTAATTCATATTGAGCACCGCACGGTACCCAGGACATAGTAATTGCTCAAGAAACATCAGTGATGTTTATGAAGAGTAATCAGCCACTCAGACTTGAAGAACCCCATATTCTCTGAGCCTCAGTCTCCTCATCAGTAAATGAGGAGTGACTACCTGAGTTCTGGCTACATTTTGGGGTGCTTAGGCTGAAGGAAGCAAGGTGGAGTGCTCAGACACAGGAAAGCATTACATTGATAAGTGGTATGGGGCAATGAGGGTTTCTTGGTACTACTCTAAATAGTTTCACCATTCAAGAATTTTAGTTTTTGTTCTGGGCTTTTTCTCCCCCAGTCTTTTATAAATACTGCAGCATGAAACCAAGCCCACAACTTCTTTAATATGCTTTAATAACAGCCCGCTCTTTGTCCAATAATACTCTAGGATTGAAATCCTCTGAAGATGGGCCAGTGAATAGTAATATCAGAAAGTATCACACAGCAGCTGAGTGCTGGCTATGGGGTCAAACTGGCTGGGCTTGGGGTTCCAGGTCCACCAATAATTAGCTGGGTAATGACTAACGATTTGCTTAACTTCTCTAAGCCTTAATTTTCATTTCTATAAAAGAGGAGTAATAATAGCGACCTCAAAGGGTTATTGTGAGCTTCCTGTAGAACAGAGCCTGGCATCATACAAGATGAACAGTCAAGCATAATCTTTTATTAAAAAAAAAAAAGTCGCTGCCATGTAATAAGGAGCTATATGTGCCCAGCCCTGAGCTAGGTGTATCATGTGGTTTATTCCTTACAGCTCTTTACATTACCCCTCCACCAGCAGCCCCCAACTCCCCAGTTTCAAGTTCAGCATGTAGGCAAGTGTCATGCAGAGAAGGGCTCGGTTGCCCCCACGGGCACTGTGGCCAGCCAGGGTGGCAGGCTGCTCAAAATAGAAGCATCCCAAGGTGTCAGCTCGGGGCTCAGCTCCTCCCAAGGGTTTTCGAAGCTGTTGGGCCCCAGTGCTTCCTGGGTCAGGAGGATTTCCCTAAGCTACATGAGGAATGCTTTAGAAACAGCACCTGCGGAAGAACTGAGACCCTTTTTCATGAAAGATGGCTTTGCTTCCAGAAAGATCTTTCTGACTGTATTACTTCAAAACAACCAAGGCAGCAAAGGCTGAGCTGCCAGTCCTTACAGTATTTGGGCACATTTCCTCGGCTCCAGAAAGCCACCAGTCCTACTCAGCCCCTCCTGCCCATCGAGGGAAGGGGGTTCCTCCTCTCCGCAAGGCCAGCCCTGCCTGGGTGTGTCGCCAGCCCTGCCCTGTTGGACTCGCTCATTGTTGGCCGGAAAGCCCTGGGAAGGGTGGGGACTTGGCGCTGGAGAAAGCCCAGGGAGGTCAGAGGACTAGTGCCCAAAACTTCTGGGAATCCCAACTCCACGCTTGAGAACCTGCCTCCACACCCTAAATTTCCTCCCCTGCCCCCCCCCCGCCCCCACCGCTCCTGCAGTAGGCCAGGACTCTGACAAAAGGTTAGTCTTCCCCCTTCCACTCCTATAGCCCTCAGGGGTGGGCTGTAGCGAGTCAGGGCTCTGGAGGAGGGGATAATATGTCCATAATTAGTTTACTTTCTAATCTCAACTGGATAAAAATGCTCTCTGGGCCCCTCCATTGCCATTGTACTAAGTACAATGGCCGCCCCTAGAGAGGTTTTTCCATATTTATTTGTGCTGTCCCCCTGCGGCTGTGTGTCTTAACTCAGCCCTTCCCCTCAGATAAAAAGAAAAGTTGGCTTGGGAAAAACCTCTCCAAAGCAGAAGCAGTTGCTGCTTTGCCCTTAGCATGTTTTAGTGGCGGGACTTCCCAGAATATCCCAAAGGGCCTGGAGGCAGGGCAGAGCCTCGGGCGGCTTCCAGACACAGAGTTTGGGAATCTGACTCAAGGTACAGGAGTCCAGATGATAAGGAGAGGGTGGACGGTGGCAGCTGCAGACATTTGGTGAGGACCTCTGGAACACCAGGCACTGGGCTAAGTACTTGGTGTAGATTATTTCACTTCTTCTGCTTCTAACCGTTCCCATCCAAAAGCCACATCCCCCCCGAAGGCTGTCAGAGCTCTCCAGGGCCTCCACGTTAGCGCGTGGTTTTCTAACGATTTGCCAAAAGGACCATCTTTGCAGAGACAAATAATACCAGCCTCTCTCGGCAAGGTGGGGCCTGGCCATGAATATCAACACTTTGTTCTAAACTGGACACATGGTTGGCACAGAAAAAGTAGGTCCTTTCGTTCCTGCTTTTGTGTTGGAATACACCTCTCGTAATGAAAGCTAGAAAATGTTCTTGGCGATCACTTCCCATCAGATAGGAGCAAAAATCAGCTGGATTCTCCTGGGGGGTTTTTTTGTTTTTGTTTGAATTAGAACCATTACCTCTGTCCTTCACATAAAAACAAGGTGTTTCAGACAATTCACCATAAATTGCTAATATTTATTCATCATTAATCAAATGGCTTCCACCAAATGTGCACTTCTGTACACATTACCAATGATCCCTTCCAGCAATATGGGTGAGGGGTAACCGTGGTGACGCAAATTAGAGGTTGCCTGATTTGGTCCAGGCTCCCTCAGCTCCCTGTGGGAGC